ATAAATATAACACTTATATTTAATTACATATATGCATTATTATGTTATATGTATGATTTAGAGCTTATGTCTGTAAAGGGTTATAAGGAGGTGGAAGTTATTGAATCATAACCCTTCATTTACTGTCCTATTAACACAAACAATCTTCTTGATTGCTACTTTACTTGTGAGGTCATACAATTCCAAAGTCCAATAAATGAGCAAATTAATTAATTAATGTACATATAAACACACATACAAACACTCACATGTGAACTCAGACATCTTCATTCACACAGTAATTAGACATAGCCCAAATGTCCACAACCATCAACAAAATATGTAGTATACTATGCATAGAGGGAATAAGCATACCCAGTGATGTTAATCACCCTTCTTCCATCGTATATCATTTTAAGGGAACCTGTTTGACCATATATAGTCTTATTTTTGGACATTGCTTTAATTCATTCCATACTTTTACACTGTTTATTGAAATGCAAATTATTTTCAATTTAAGAATTTGATATTAAGTTTATCCCTGTAACTATACCCTTCCTTCATCTCCACAGATATTTTTGTGTTCTGTCTGGTATGTGTTCATTTATTGCGCTGAACATTGTACTAGATCAGAGAAGTAACAATACTGGTACCAATACTGACCCCTGGTGGACACCAGCTACTCCCGCAGCTGCGTGTCGCAGTGATAGCCTGATAAACCAGACTAAATGTGTCGCAGGCAAAGATTATTTTGGCTGCTGGCGGGTGGGGTAGTTTACTATCGCAGTGAGCTTGTTGCAGTTATTTTTGATTTATGCCCAATATTGAAGCGTGGTCTGCGTTATGTTATTCCACGCCACAACGCAAAAGGGACAACCACGAACTAGCTGTGGGTGTAGATATGGCCGAGGCAATGAGGAAGTGGGGGCAGGTTTGTGCGACAACAGAGGGACATGAAGGCACCTTGCTCTGCTAGCTGATCAAACTTCACGAGTCGTTTTCAGCAATGGTGGTCATACCAACAAAAAAAGCTGCTAAGGTACCAAACAGCAAATACGGATAGTGTAGAGTGGATGTAGATTTAACCAGAGGCCTCCTGTAGCACTGTCTGTGGTCACCTACAATTTTAGAGAGGTGCTTGTCACTACCCAATCCGTCCTGGAAGCACGATCCGTCCTGCACATGCGTGAACAGATACATCCAGGTGTCCATAAATACTGTAATTTCTATCCTTAACCCACTAAAGAATGCTAATACACATATACAATTTTGTGAGACATATTTTATGCTTTTTATATTTTCTTCGTTAAACTGCTTCTCTGACATCATCATCAGACTCGCTCAAAGAATGATTGAAATATGATCAAACCATGTTTATCTACATTTAAGTTGTTTCTTTCTTTAGATTACACACTATATAGCATCAATTTTAAATGAAACGAAAACATAAACCTCAAAAAGACCAGATTTATGTTTAAATCCAAAGCCGAAAAAGTTAGCCACCGGAAGTAACGTAGGATTCCATTTCCGGTGTAGATCTGGCAGAGATGACTGATAAAACAGAAAGGATTTTAAGGCATTTATTTTCTCATGAAATACATTATTAATCTTTAACACATTATATTTTAGTACATTTACTATTTTTGGGGAGGGAAAACATCATTTAGGGCTTTTTGACTAAATAAAATTGAGGACGACCTGGATGTATAACTGGATTCGCAAGCGCAAATTAACTGATGGTGCATGCGCAGAACGGATCATGCTTCTGGGACGGATCGGGTAGTGACAGTGCTCCAGAATGTCTGCGACAGGGGTGGGAGCACATTTGCATTTACTGCGACACATACACAGACGACCTGGTTTCTGAGTATAAATCAGCCTTTAAGTATACATTGTACTGATAATCACCCATTATACTGATAATCACCATTTGCAAAAATTGTGGCCAACTCCTGAAAAAGCTCTTTATCCACCGCAGACCCACCCCTATGTATGGCATAATGCTTTTCCTGATTAAAATATTGTGATTGATTGTTTTGAAGGGTTTTTCCAGATTGACAAATGGACCAATTACAAACTTATGTTCATCAATGGAGCTCGTTATTTCCTCTAATAATTTCCAAGACTGCCAAAAATGTGGAATTCTATAATCTATATACAGACTGATTTTTAGAAAGTCATTTTTTGTTTACCAATGAAATTTTCTGGACTGCCAAAAATAGTTTTTCTAAAATCTTGGAAAACTGTGGAAGTAGAGAAACAGGCCTATAGTTTGTAAATTTCTCTCTATCTCCAGTTTTGATATGGAGATCATGATAAGATTTTGGTCCAATTTTCCAAACTTATTTTTTTTTTATTGTATATGCTTGAAAATAGAGATTACAGATATGTGTCAGTGTTTTAACAATTCCATCATAAACTTTTTTAATTGTTGCTACATCAATGTCATTTGACCTTTTATTCTTACATTTGTTTACAACAACCATGATCTCCCTATTTTCCACCGCTGTGAGACACTGAGTTAGGATTGTTTTAATCTCAGAGTTTACTATGATATTTCTTTTTAGGCCCATAAAATTAAGTTTATTTATTGTTATAACCTTAATATATTTTTTCTTTCTCCGTCATCCAATAGTGTTAGGAAGTTTCTATTCCACATATTCTTTTTTTTACAGGCATTCTGCATGCAATCCTGTTGTGATCCATAGTGTATCCGAATATTTACCGTTTGGTTTATTATTTTATAGGACAGTATTTATCGCATGTATCTTTCAAAATATTTCGGAACATTTCATAAGCTTTATGTTTTGTCTTTTCCTTGGATATTGAGTACTACTTTGACTAAGCAGGTATTCTCTAAATTTAATTATTGACTCCTCCGACTTCATTTGTTTTTAGTTTTGAGTGTAGTTCTTTGCAGCTTTCCTGCAACAAATGTCCTATTCTACACACACTTGTAGACAGTCACTGATATTCGAAATAAATATTCCACTTGTGGGGCCTCATGGAAGAACATTTATGAATTGGTTCTTAAATTATTTGCACGTGTCATTTACAAGAAAACGACGCATTCAACATTTTTGCTCCTATTGCTAGTCTCCTCTCAGGTACGAACACATTTTATGAGTGCTCCAGTCTAGAGGAGTCTTGCGTAATCAGTCAGCTGTTATCCACATCTAGCTTTTTACGAAATGACTACATTTGTTTTTCTTAGAAGCAATTGTTCATTTTATTAGGCCGACTCAATACATATTATGCAGCTCTGAGATTATAAATTAAAATTGTATTCTATGAGTCATTACTTGCAGTTGGGATGTCGGTATCAAGGGGACTCTGGTTTACTTTTTTGTAAAATCATCAAAAGAAAGCACAGTCCGAGATCAGGCTACAATTGAAATAACATCTGGAACTGAAAATGGATAGAAAGTTCAGCAACACTCCTCTAACAGAGAGACTTGCATTCATTTCATCCATGGCAGTTCCTTGGCTTTCTTACAGTACACTAAATGCGCAATATATAAATATTTTATACATGTTTATAGGTTGTGAGAGAGATAGAGAGTAAGATGAAGGGATGGCAGATGTGGTCTAAAGATATGCATTATACGTGTGTATTAAAAGGAGATTTAGCAGAATGTTGTCATGTTGGTGGATGTTGAACTCGTGTTAAATATTTACAGCATATGTTGCACCTCTTACCTCCAGTAGTAGTTTTTATTGACTGTTTTCGGATCAATTGATTTTTCCTTTATATTATTTTCATTATTTTATTTTTACTTCGGTAACAGTGCAACCGTGGCATTTACAGCTCTTGCAAGTTATTTCTCACTGCTTGGCTTTTTACTGGTCCTTTAATTATCTCTCAAGCAGACCTTGATCTGCAAAACCGTTAAGTTTTTCTACTTCATGTTTAATGCAATTTCTATGATTGGAAAACTGCGTGTTCATTCACAGAGGGGTGAAAATTTGCCGCCTTTTAAGGAATTATTGGGATGGTAATTATGCAGATTTACATTTCACACAAACACTTACTCACTCATGCACAAGTGGAGCACATCACCTTTAGGAGAATCATTTAAGATAATTTACTGAAGTTAACCCTTTATAGGGCGCTCAGTGAAATACTTTGAAAATCCAAGTTTCAAGCCAATAGTGTTATTGGAATCCAGAGCAAGACCTTATTACCTTTGTAACATTCATAAAATATGGATATTTTGATGGCAGAAATTAATGTCAATGTAATAACTAGTTACGCCAACTTTCCTGAATATATTAAGAAAAAAAACAAAAGTGTTTCTATAAAAAATTCATGAAAAACACTCTGAGAGTGAAAGAAACACATTTCTTTTGGTACAACATAACCTTAGAGGCAATAATGCTGATACTGTCACTTACATTTTTTTAGTTTTTAAACCTAAATATAATTGTTAACTAGGTTTATTAACTTTTTAACTCTTCTTTTTAACTTTTCAATCAGCTTTTTACCTTTTTTAAACTTAATTTATAGTAGGGAATATATCATTAAAGGGTTCATCTAATTGGTCAAATGACAAAATAAGATGTACAGCCATGTAGCAGTATCTTTGCTGAATGGCTGGATATAGATATTGTGCTTCTAAACCTCACTGAGGGACGGGGGGGGGACTCCATTTTTAAGGAGTATGCAACTGATCAAAAACGCTAACTTGCCCTATAAAGGGTTAAGAATGTTTGTTTAATCTGATTTGGCGCCTTTGTAAAAGTCCACAGTAGGAGAAAAAGTAAGAGAAATTTATGAGAAATTTCTAAAATGTTCATGACGCCCATAATGTTGTTATCTCTCAGGTTTTAACTATATTATCTGTAATGCGGCACTGTGAGCTGTGATGATTCTGGGTCAGGTGATTTTGGGTAATCGGTGTGGTAATGCACTTAACACAAACACAAATGATGGAGAAAGAAAGACAAGAGAACTATTAGCTCCTCAATGGAAAATAATTTATAGACTCCATGCTGACCCCTAATTCTCATTTCTATTTCAGTCTTGGCACCTAAGGGTCTGCAGTTGATCCAGAAGACAGATGTCTCTCTTCTGGTGGAGTGGGAGACTGTCCAAGGAGCTGAGTATTACATGTTGACTTATCATCCCAAATTTGATGAGGGTGCAGTGGAGGAGGTATGTTTTTTTTATATATTTTTTTCTTTTCATCAAAATAAGCTGTTGTTTGCAAAAAGTTTAAATCATTCCTTTCATTAATTGTTTAATAGGTTCAGATTCCTAACTCTGAAAATTCCTACCTTATAACGGATCTCACTCCAGGGGTTACCTACATTGTCAAGGTCTATGCAGTCATCAAAAAGATCCAAAGTGAAGCAGATATGATTAAAGCCACCACAGGTGAGACCAGGAGGCACAAAAGCATATATTTGTTTGCGTGGTTTTCATATTTGACCACTATAGAAATGTATAGGACCATTTTTATTCCTGATAAGTCATGTTAACACATTGTAAAGTATTCTTAACTTCTTGAGAACATATTTAAAATTCGAGCTTGATAGATGTTTACAAGTTTAAATTTCAACCAGTCCATTTTCAGTTACATGCTTTATGGCCAATGTTTTACTGTATGAAGGGGAGACCTACTCAACATTCAATGATACCAACTCACTAGAGAATGAGCATACACTGACATAAAGAGCAGATAGGTTATGTTTTTTAAGCCTAGTGGTAATGTGTCCCCTCTCTCTAGTTCCACCCTGGGCAGTTTCCCATATGGCCTAAATCAAAAAGTGCCACTGCTTCTGAATATCATACATTTTCAACCTTTTATTAATTGAGTTTCAAAAACCAGAAGTATATGCAAAGGAATTTTAGTATGCTTTCTCTAAACCATACAATGTGAAAATTATAAACACATACTAAATACATTTTCGCCAACAAGATACACTTTTTTTCATTAACAGGCTTGTGGATTCTTTTTGGATTAATATTTGAACCCTGTTATGCAGAGTTCTTAAGTTTCAAACTACATTAGCTGGTTTCCTGGCAGGAAACAACTAATCTAATCAAATCTAGTCAAATTTCACAATTTCAACAGGGCTGATGTGGAGGCTTTAAGAAGGCCAGTCTTTTATGTTCGTGTTAACTGGATGTCTCTTTTGCAAAACTCATTTTCATTGCATTTTGGATTATTTTTCTGTTGGATCACCCAGTTGAGGCAAGAGGAATATAATCTTACTTAAAACGGATTAGATACAATGTCCTAGAAAAGTCCGGAAACCATGAAGGCTTGAGCATTTAGATCCTAAAACATGTGACTGTGCAGTGCAGTGCAATAATCATAATACAGCCTGAGAGGTTACAGAATAAGAGAAAAATCACCTGCTTTAAAATGTTCAGGCCGTACTACAATTTTCAATAACTCGTGTTGACAAGACAAAATGCTCCCTGGAATAAGAATATATTAATATATGTAGCTTTTAAGTATTGTTGTACAACCCTTCAACATAAAATAAATAAATGCTGAGTTGATTAGTTTTTTACCGTGTAATCTTTTACTTATCAAGCTCAATATACCGTGTTTGACTGTTTCATTAGGCACTGGCTTGTTAGGCATTACATTATGGTAATTACAAGGAAACTGCTGCATGGATGTGTTTACCATAAACTGCAACTCACAGATGTGGTAGGAGACAGAGTGGTAGGGGAAGGGATTTCTTGTCTGGATTTATGGTAGTTAATGAGAAGGAAGGAGATGAGTTGGATTGTGAAATGTGGTTTGACTGGTTTTCATGGAAAAAAAAGTCATACTTCATGGCTGTTCCCACAAGAAAACACAACATCATCTGGCCTGGTGCTGTGTGAGGAGAGAGCAAAATGAGGCAGACCTTTCACGGGTTGCATACTTTTCATTTTAACTTCAAACGATGGTCTACTTCAAAGGGGGCTTTAAGTGAGTACTTTCTAATTCCCCTTTGAAAACAAACAAAAGGAAGAAAAAAAACAGACATAAAATATGCTAACTGGTTTCATTTGTTTTGTGTAATGGTTTTTTTGTATCTTTTCTCACCATATGTTGTAGATCCAGAGGTAAGTCTTCGCATGGGAAAAAATTAAAAAAAATTACCATTTGGCTTGCATTTGTAAATAAAATCACTTATTTTTTCTTGTTATGAAAAGGTGTGCCAAATGTGTTTTCTAATATTTATGTCCATGTAGTTTACAAAACTCAAGATGGGGTTAGTAACAGTCATGAAATTATTCTAATGATATGGTTGTCTACTGATGTAAATGAACTATGGGAAAGTTAACTAAAATAAAAGTAGGGTTTTCTTTTTTTTTTTTTTTTTTAATAACATCAAGGTATTGAATTAAAAGAAAATGTCCTAAAGAAAGTTGCTAAAATAAGAATTTTTGTGGCTAATTTCTGATCTCTAAAAAACGAATAGAGATTTTTTTCTACATAATTGCGTGAATTTTTTTCATACTGTCTGATAACATTGAAATCGTAGTACTGTTGTAAAAATGTCAGACCAATTAGTAAAAAAAACTAATTGTGAACAGTTACAGCATTCCTTTTGATTTTCACACAATGAATTTTGTTTAATTTAATATATTACAATATTTTTTTTTATCTATTATAGATTTTTTTTTTATTGCTCAGATTTGTGGTGTAACTACAGCATAGACAGGCCGTAAGCAGCTTTTTTTTTTTACATAAATGACCATCAATTATTTATATTGGGGTAAAGGCGAGATTACACAGTGTGTAAAGAAGAGCCATGCACTGCTCTGCACTTAAACATTTTGAAAAAGGTCAGGAAAAAGCAAAATTACACTTTTTCTTTTTTTAATAACCCTATCAACCCGGAAACTGACATCTCCCTCTCTCAGGTTTCTTCTGGTTACACAGAAAGTCATGCTGAATTTAGGCAGATATGCTGAAGCTTAATGAAGGAAATGACTGTGGAAATAATGGTTTTAAAAACATTTACCTTCTTATTTTCACAAATACATTAGAAACATGTCTGTTAGAGCACCTTGAGTCATTACTAGCCGCCCCTCGCCTTTCAGACCGTGTCATTAACTCAGCTCATCTCTGTGTCTCATTCTTGCTCTTTTAGAACCAGAAACTATGATAGAGTTTTAAAACATCCTCTAAAGGGACATCTCTAAAATGGAACTTGACTTTAACACTTTCGACAAATGGTGACAGATCTCAGTGTAGAGAGTCTAGCCAGATAACAATGTTGTCGCAGAATGAAGAGAGAGCACAAAGTATTGGATTACAGAAGTTTTCATTAAACACTAGGCACATCCCTGCAGGGTACGGTGCACTTCCTCACGTGTCATCAGTGATAAAAACGTCACCACTTGGATGATGAATCAGAATCAGAAATACTTTAATAATCCCAGAGGGAAATTACTTTTGTTATGACTTATAGATTGTGTGATAGCAGTTTCTAAGACTATCTAAGTGAGCCTGTGTTTTATTTCCTGGTTTGTCTGTATGATTTTCTTTAGTAAGTTATTGTTTTGAGTCTTCCATCTCTCAGCACAGTATGGAATGAGCTCCATGTGCTCCACCTGTGACATGCCAATCAGCTCCTCTGCTTTCACCTGTGTGTTGCTATGTTTGTACTCTTAAGTTCTCTTTGTGCCCCACTGGGTTATCTGTTTTAGTCATGTTCCGTGCTCAAGGCCGCGCCTGTTTTTTTACTCAAAGTCCATTCTTTGTCTATCTCAAGCGTGCTTGTATGCTATTGATTTGTGCTCCTGTATGCCTCCAGGTCCCCCCTAAGAGCCAACCTGACATTTGAACGATTAATACAATTGGATTTATAATCTCTGAACATCGGTTTCTGTGTATTACTTATGCTTTTCCTCTTAGGAGAAAATCGTCTTTATCTTTTTGTTTCCGCCTACTTTATTTTTTAACACCCCTAATTGTTATTTTATTCTAAACAAGAATGTCTGCAGTGAAGTGTGTTTTCGCTAGGACTTTTTTATTGCTCTGGTATAGTGTGTTCAGGGAAAGTGATCTGATTTAGACAATCACTGATCAAGAACAAAACCCTCCAAACATGATCTCCCATCCCTCAGTGAATATCAAGTTTTGCCGAAAAATCTTTTTCGTTTCGAAGGATGATCAGATTTAAAAAAAACAAACAAAAAAAATGTTTTACAAATATATTTTTATAGCTATTCTACATTCACCAAAAGGTTTCAGTAGGATTTAAATGCCCCATTCTCATTCTCATATTTGTGAATATTTATAATATTTGTGGAAAAAATGATAGTGCTTTTGTGCTAAGCTGTGTGAACATTCTTTGTAACTCATTGGCAATGACCCGATATGATCAGTCAGCTCATGTTGACCTTTACCTTAAGCCTTTAAACAAACCCAGAACACTCTGTGGCCATAAAACAGTTATCTTTAAAGTTTAATTGGCATTACTTAATGTAATTGCTGTGGTTCTTTAAAGAAGTATTAAATAAGTAAAAACATCCTGTTATCTACTAGCCTGATAAACCAGACTAAATGTGAGATTAAATGTGTAATTTAGTCTGGCCCCGATGAATGAGACATTGGAAGATTGTTGATGAGAACAACCCCATTGTTTTTCAAACCATGTCTGTGCCTATTGGCCAACGCTTTGACCAATGAGCGCAACTGACTGTGACGTAGGAATCGTGAGAGAAAGCTGGTGGGGGAGTGTAAACAAACAGCCTGTCTGTAAAACGACAAATACGTCCTTCTTAAAAATGAATGAGCGTAGAGCCTCTTCCTGTTCACGTTTCAACGAAAACCCCAAGTCTAATCCTTCCAAAACTGATTCCAAAGCTGAGTCAAATGAGAACTGTTCAATGGTTCTTGCCATTTTCCTTGTGCTTTCTCGAGCGTCGCGCAGCATTGTCGTCAAGCCCTCAAGATCCTGCCCGCTTTGCATCCAGAAATTCAAAACACATCTCTGCGTTGTGATTGGCCCATCATTTCTAGTACCTGGGAGTCTGGGACATTGATCAGGGCTAAACCACTCGCAGGCAAAATTGATTTTGGCCGCTGGCGGGTGGGGCTTGTTCACTAGGCTAGTTATCTACCATAACCTTAAATCTGTTCCTTAGGCCACATTATTGTGCTATTCATATTTGTGGTGAAATATTGTACATTTTAAAAATAATTACAAAACTGTCAGAGCAATTATGGTGAGAACCACCAAATAAACAACATAATTTAAATACAAAAAAATGTTGACTGCTTGTCTCCTTTTTACTCTAACAAGACCAAATTTTGAAATATATTCTTTTAGAACAATAACTATTGTCTTCATGGCTGAAAGGTAAATTTTGGCTTCCCCCTCAGAAATCTCACATGCCAACGCATCGGCACTTAGTTTTGCGGGAATTGGAGGCAGACCAGATCACATGAACTTGTTTTCTCTAGCTTTAGTGGAGACCTTTCCTGTCTGTACACCCACTTCTATGAAATGTATTCTTTTCAGATGTCTCAACCATAGATGATATGCGAGTCACTGGCCAGACAGAGGTTTCAATCCAAGTGGACTGGAAGAACCCACAGGCAGAAGTGGATTATTTCAGACTGACACACACCGACCCGTCAGGACAGGAGGAGGAGCTGAATGTTCAGAGGAGTCAAGAGGCACGCACCAAACACACTATTGTAGGTAAGTCATCCAAGAGAAGGGATGCAAGACTGATATGAGAATATAACTTGCTAAATGCTTTCAAAGAAAAAGATCAAACTATGCAAAAATATTAGATTGTTTAGATTGAATAATTTTATTTTGTGTTTTTAGTATTATTATCCCCTCTGCCTAAAAAAATACTAGAAAGATCTTTACAGGGGTTACACTAAGCAAAACTTATTATTGCTTTCTAGCTTTTCTGTCTCCAGTGGTATTTTTAGGAATGGAAATTATAAAAATAACATTAGTATCCCAATAGATCCCGGATTAATAATAAAAGAAAATGGTTTTTAATCTGTAATTTTCTGAACTCCGATCAGATTGGGGAATGTAAGCAGAGGGAATTATTTAGCCTCTCAACCTAATGCAACTCGTTATTAAAGGTTGTTAGTCAGGGTTAAATGTCACACTTTGATAAAGTAGGGTAAAATGTTATATTTATATGTACTGTACATTTTCAATCCATATCTAAATCTATGTCTTATATTTATACCCTTAATCCAAATTAAAATGTTTATTTGAAGTTTAGTAAATATGTTAAAAATGAAATATACAGTATATATATGTTTTTTACATATTTTAAAACATTTGGATTTAAGATATTAAGCTTTAAAAATAAATTACAGACATATATTTAGATTGAAGTTAAAATTTGTATTTAAGATTTATATATCTATGTTTAGATTTAAGACTTAGAGGATTTAGGACTCAGATATGAGATTTATATGATGATATTGCTTACTGGAGCGATTAAACATGAACATTTCAGGTTAGCCACTAAATAAAAAAAAACAATAAAAAAGCATTCAATGCAAAAAAGTAACAGACGTGATGATGAAAATCATCAAAGTGGGGCTCAAAAGATAAAAATGATTTAACACTGAGACAAGTTGATAGAAGATTAAAGTGAAAAAGTTAAGTTATTGTAGCTTTTAAATTCATTATCCTCTTAATTCCAAAAATCTTTATTTCAGTTGTTTCTGTGTGATTTAGACACGTGGATTAATAAAAGAAATGAAAGCTTTTCCTTTCAATTTGGACATAAAAAAATCTGTCTTCCTGCAGGTCTGTATCCAGGAACAGAGTACCAAATATCTGTGCAGTCCATCAAAGGAAACGCCGAAGGGAAGGCCTCTTTTACTACTGGTGTCACAGGTCAGTGACCTCTTAAAGGACCTTTACTCATTATGACCCTTTGTTATTATCAGTGAGCAGTTGTCCTGGAACTGACTTCTATTTGGCAGCATTAGCATGGAGAATGTATTTGTGAAAGATAGGAGACAGAGTAGATGGCTGAATCAAATGATAAATGATTTGTTATGCACATGTGGAAACTAAACGCATTGGAGAATATTAAAAGATTTTAGTTTTCAGTAGAGTCAGAGACAAAACGTCATTCTTCTCAGAACATCAGTAATTCACCAGAGGTCAGAGCCTAAGAGGTGCAACACTTAATCAATCATTCATCTAACTGATGAACCAGATGGTACAACCTGCTATTATCCCCACTCAGCCAATAATAACAATATAATGAATTTGGCCATCAAGAGGCACAATTATGGGTTATTGACAGAGACCACGAATTTACTACCTAATCATATGGACAAGCTTTAATGGTTGTGGTGAGGTCATCAAGGGGAAACATGATATGAATGTAGAGACCATCGGATGCTCCCTGATGGTTGAGGTGAGAGAGTCTGTGATTTACAGATACCATCTGGTATTCTTGTATATCAGCATGTCGTTCTGTTTGTGTTGAGTGGCTTTAGTACGTGAGGAGGAATTTATTTTTTATCTTCCCTTTTAACAGCTGTTCTTGACATTCTGCATGGTCTATACACAGCATGACAGGTCTCCAGGTATTCTCATTATTCTCTTTTTCTGTCTCGCACTCTTCCTACAGCTTCTCTATCAGCCACCTTCTGAGCTTACCTGGTTGAAAAAAAGAGAAAAGTAGTCTCCACATCCATGTCTCTCCGTAATTCAGACTCTGCAGTAGCCAATTTAATGATTTTAAGTCATCTGGCTTAGCGGCGTGTTTTCAAGACTTACCTCTCATCTTATGAGGCCAGACAGGTACTCATGGATTTCTGTCTTTGCTGATGTTTTTTTTTCTCTCTGCGTAAATGTGCCACCTACATGTGCTGAAATTGAGAGTGCATGTGAGTGCGAACACTCTAATCTACAACAGACAGGCAGTAGCTTGTCTTCACTCCAGTAGCTACATCCTTCATTTTAGGTTTAACACGAACAGGCTTAGAGGTGATTGAAGAGGATAGTCTTTGGCTGTGTTTGCAAGGGCTGTCTCAATCATTTCATGATGACTGGCATGGCGCAAAAGGAGACCTAACCTTTTATCTCAGTAAGCATACTGTCTATTCCCACACAGCAGTTATTCAATTGAGAGAGATAAAAGAAGCAAAAAAGAGGAATTGTTATTCAAGCAAGCACAAATATTGAAATAAATGAGGCAGAAAGTGCTATGAAGAAAAAAAATTCTTTAGAAATTTGCAAAATATTTGGACAGTGATTGGAAAAAAAGTACATCCTGATAAGTCAAAATATTTTGGCTTATCAGCTCCTAAAGAAGGAATCTAAGGAGACACATTAGGATAATGGGTCCCCAAGAAAGAATTCTCTGTGTCTGTTATATTAGATAATGATTTACTGTGCAGAAGTCTCTGTGAGGAAATGTTGATGTTTCCCATAACCAAAGCCTCTCAGAGGAAATATTTTCACATATTTCATTTTCCCCTTCAACATCTGCCTTGTGTTTCCCCCATTTTCATCTCTTGATCCCTTCCAGACTCTTTCATAGAGAAGCTGGAAATTATCCAAGAAAGGATCTGAAAACATACTTGAGATTTTGTTAAAACATTCAAGAAAAAAGTAAATGTGAAATTTTTACAAATGTTAAAGAGAGATCTTCATTCTTTTTTTTTCAACAATGCACTTTTTTATGTGTCCAGAACTTTAAAGGCTCATCATGTATTTATTCACCAAATCATTTATTTGAATGTTTACTGTATGTAATTTTGCTGTAATTATCATATAGGTTTAGAGTTTGCATTCTTTAAAATAACATCTAGCTATTACAACAGCATAGTATTTATCCAATTAGCTAACTGAGGATTGTTTTTAACTTTTCTTCTGATTTTGTATATCTTGTAAATCTCTTAAATCGAAGCATTCCTTTTGTCTGGTTTATATTTATTCAGCAATTATCTGGAAGCATTTTCTCATCTATGTAAGGAGAAAATAAGAAAAAAATGTGTATATTTGTTCAGAGGATTAGAAAATATTATGAAACCAATGCATAACAGCATCTATTATGATTAACCCATATTATAACCGTGATTTTGTTTTTAATCCCCTATCAAAGTTACCCAACCACACAGAATGAGCTAGGCCATCTTCAGCTGTACAGTTTCTTTCATGAGTCGCCTTAAAAGATCATTTACATCCATCTGGCCGAATATATTTATGTCAAGCAGAAATTGAAAGTAAATTGTGTAAAATCTGACAGCGTACACTGTACCAAAAATAAACGACTTTTGGAAGCAATCTTTAGTTGATATTGAACACACATATGTGGCATTGATTTTTGAATTTCAGGACATTGTGCAGCATTTTACAACCAATGGAAGCCATGCAGTTTTTTACAGAATGGATTGTTAACAAAAAACTAAAGTTGCCATCAAATATTTAGCCTGTCAGACAGACGTAAACTGGAACTTTAAATAAACCAGCGATAATAGCAGAGTCGAAGACAAGATGCAGAGTGAATATCTACTGTCGCCACTCGCTCATCCAGGAGGAACATGTCCTGCAAAGTCAATGACTTGGATATTATTATCTGGTTTGCCTCAGAATGTTTTACCGATCTGACTCGATGATCTGATTGACTTGTTTCTGTAGATTGGCTTGAGATGACATGTGAAATGAAATGGTGCTAAAGAAACACAAGCTTTAATAAGAGTTGTTTCATGTAAAAAAACACACAAAAAAAAGAAAAAACACAGTATTACCTTACTAGAGTTCTCCATTTACAGACAGAACCTTTGATCACAACAAACTGGTATTGTCTGATTAAATAGATTAAACAACAAAATTGTTAATAGCCTTTTTCTGCTTCAGAGAAAAGCCTACAATCTGGTGTTTAACAGACATTGTGTTCATAGTATGTCATGTTATAAAGAGTGAATGGTTTAATTTCCAATATTTTTTTCAGCTGGGAAATTCCTCTTTCTTGTAGATTAGAATAGTAGTATAATAGTATAAACTTTCAATATTCTTTTTTCAGCCAGCTGATTGGCTGTGTACTAGTAATATTAACTAGAGGGCGTTAGACAGTTAGTTATATTCTAAGATGTCTATACATTTTGGATGTTAATTAAATATCATTAATATGTGTTTTTTTATTAAAATATTTAAAATGCAAACTTAATGCACACATGGTAAATAAATTAGCCATCCATGCATTAATTTTCCATAATTTTTTATCTTATATGGGACACAGATTTGCTGGTTCTAACTCACTGAGCAAGAGGGCATGTACACCCTGGACACGTCTCCAGTCCACCACAGTGACAGACAAAATAATTATTTATCACAATTTCTGAATTCTGTATTAATCAAATGTTAGGCCTGGATCTTGCTACTGTACATGAATAAAAACACTTTCTACTATAACATGTTGCTGCTTTCAAAAGATAGAGAAAATAATTATTGGGAAAACACAACAAATTTAGCTTTTCCAAGAAACACAATGGATATCTATAGAAAATGATGCTGCTGTCTTTTTAGGCGCACTTTATCACTTTCACTATACAGCGAGGACATGAGGCTGTGAAGCTGCACTTGATAAAAGGCAGCCTGTTCCTCTGAGCTCTGTGTTCAATGACTCAGCCGAACATGCCACTTATAATGGATAAGCTATTTTCCGAGTGACCGAGGCCGCAGTTTTTGTTGTATAGCCGCAGATGCTACACAGTCAGTGAGGTATAACATTTGTGGTAACAGGATCCTTCATATACTACAGCTTTGGTACAAATATCCTAGCAGCAATTACATAAAAAGTCAGAGAAAGGCTGACACCTAAACAAGGATGAATACAACTTTGCTGTCTTTGCCTATGCTGATATGAAAAAAAAAATGTATCCTGTAAAAAAAAAAGTCATTTAGAGGCAATACATTTTTTATTCATGCGTTTTCAAAGTTGTAATACCTAAATTTTTCAAGTTTATTGTAAATCTCTGGCACAGGAGAATTCAATCTGGACAGACATTTCCACTTGGCTCCTCCTTCCTCATACCTCTTCCAAAATAATTAGTTTATCCTGAGAAATTTTCTATATTTATGCTGCTATATGTTTAGGCTGCTGGATGACATAGGACACTGTTCATCATTCTCCTTTATTCTATCTTTATTCTCCAATTGTGCAGTATTTCTTTCAACCCATTGCTTAATTTTCTCTCTGTTTTTACTTGTCATGTTAGTTTCATCTGGTCTGTTTCTGTTTGGCTGATGCACATCCTGGAATGAAATATCAGCTTAGCTGCTGCCATCAACATTTCTGTTTATAGATGTTGGAGCATAGCCTACTTTTCTGTGTAGTCCTGTTTCTTTTACTGTGACTAAGTCTATGTGCTGTCTTTCATCCTCTGGCATGTGAACTGGCTCAGAGCTCATCTGCCTGATTGTGCCTTTCGTGGACGACCCTGCCTGTGAAGCTAGTTAACGGTTACCTTTTGTATATCTGCTTTTTCTTGTAGAAGGCAGAAGGCCGCTTATACAGAGCCTGATACTGCAGGAGGTTTTTTCCTCTTAAAAGGCGTTTTTTCCTCTCCTGTCGCTGAATGCATGCTCAGTATGAGGGATTGCTGAAGAGTCAACAACAAATTACAAGCGAAAATGGTCACTGCCAGCTCATCCAGGAGCATGTCTTGCAAGTGTATGACTCAATACAATCGATCAGTTTTCCTTGACAGAAACCTTTAACCAATCTGATTGAATTGTCTCTGGTAAAGTACCTTAAGATTACATGTGTTGTGACTTGGCATGATTTAAAAAAAAATAAACTGAATTAATGATTTCACAGAGAGTTTGTAGGTAGGTGCAATCATATTGGGATTTTTTTTAAGTATACATTTTATAGTTCCTCTTTGTGAGTCTTTAAGCCTATTTTTAAGTGTCGTTTGAAACTGAGGGTGATGGGACAATTTTTCTAGAAACACTGATGAAAGGGCTACTTTAAGTTTTCCCTACTGTTAAGTTTGCAGCCAGGGGCTTCAATGTGACTGCAGGAGAGGACAGAAAAGACTGGGAATATAGAGCTCTGCAGTGGAATAAGTTTGTTTCTTCTTTTGGGTGGGTCATCAAAAGTCTTCTAGTTTCAGACTGCATACTGATTGAGAAGTAACCTTGACTGAACCACATCCACAAACTAACACCCCAAATGATTAATGCTTTAACATCTCCCTCCACTTCCTCTCTTATGATGCATCTGGTACTGACTATTTTATTTCCTGCCATCCTCTTCTTTGTTGTCTGCCTTTCTTGGTGTTCTTAGGTAAAAAATGAACAAAGCCATTCATTTTCATGGACACCAGCTGCTTCTTCCTTCACCTTCTGTATGCCTCCATGGACTTTCAGAAATGAAAGCTTTATGTTGTTACTTGCCCTGCAGCTCAAGAGGTGAAGTTCAGTCAGACAAACATGAAGTAGACTGAACAGGTTTTGTATCCATCTAAGTAGCTCTAGCAGATCTTTCTCTTTCTTATACCTTACTATGTTGGTAAAACTGTCCAACCAAAACCAACTCTCGAAAAATGTTGAGTAACTGGACAGTCTAAAAATATGTTTTATTGTTTAGATTGACTAACCTTGTCTATAGATTTAAAAGAGTTATCAGAGATCAAACAAATTTCTTTGGATTTCTTTGTTGTTTCGCTCTCATAACCCCTGCTGGAAAGCTTCTCAAGCGAAGAGAAGAACAGGAGTAATTAACTGTCATTGATGTCTGAATCTTGGCAACTGAACAACCAGTTTGTACTTAGATTTCAAGTTCTTGGAGGCCAGTTTTGCAGCGGTGGTGGCTGCTGCTCCCTGAAACAGGAAAGGCTCAATGGTGTTAATTAAATCCAAACGTCCCGTATTGCATTAACAAATGATGAAACACATATTGCATCAAAAGATGTTGAAACACATAAAACACATTACTGCAATGGATGTAAATAGCTGTTGTGAAGCGCTCTGAGATAAAATTCAGAAACCATGGCTAGATTTCAGCACAAGATGACTGTTCTGGCTGAATGATCCCTTCCCCACCTTGACTCAGGAGGAAAACCTCCTCGCTGTCTGGCCAATGTCAATCAAAAACTCTTATGTACATTTGCCAATCAGCATCAAGCCAAAAGGTTAAACTAAGCATCCCATTGCCCTTTTGGATCAAAACAGTTTTAAAAGGATTAAGCTGTGAATGATATCAGCATTTTTCTTAGCATCAGTCAAACGAATAAAGTAAAACATTTTAGATCCAGATTTTAGAGAACGATCACAACACTTCCTTTTTTTGAAATCTGAGTATAATGTTTTATATTTCTGGTTCAATTAGTTTAGATAATTGGAGATCCAGAATGGCTGGTCTGCATTGACCTGTATGCAATTTTGGGCAATATAGTAGACCAAAAAAGTCCAAAGGCTCCAATGTAAATGTTTTTGTGAAATGATCAGATAAGACAAAAAACATAGGTTTTTGCAAGAGGCTACTATGCAACAGCTTGTCTGTACACTCTTTATCTTATATATTTTGTCGACCCAACTTTTGTTTTAACCATTCTGTGGTCCTCATGTTCTGTAAACATCCATGACCTCTGAGCAATCATAACTAGTGTTGCACTAGTGTTGCATGGGGCCCAGATCCACCACTAAAATTATGGTATCGGTGTCAGTGAGTTGCCAACAAATAGGGCACTGATACCATTTTGAAAGCCAAAAGTTTATTTAACTATTGTCACCCATTCCAGGTAGGCAATAAAAAGTTCTACTGGATTCACTCTGTATTAGTCTTTTTCCTGCTTCACAAAGGTAGGCAGCAGCTTGACAAAGCCATGATGGCAATTATTTTACATCCAAGTAGTATGCAGTTCTTCATATATACACACACACATCAATTTCAAACAGATGGTATTAGTATGGTATTGGTATTGGCCAATACTGCACAGCCAGGTGTCGGGTATCGGTAAAAAGTTGCATCAGCGCAACACTAATCATAACCTGGCTTCAATAAACCCTGATTAAAAAAGAGCTTTTATTGAATTTTAAACCCTAAATCTATTTTGCCCCAAAGAACACCTGTCATTTAACACACATTGACTGAATTCTATACGTTTTTACATTTAACAGGGCAGAAAGACTGCTTTTATTTAGGAGATACCACTTGCCATTTTCGACTTTATAGCAGTATTGTTTTTGACAGCCATCTTAGATTTAGTCTTAGTCTTCAGGATGAAAACTATTATTATTCTGAGTCACATTTTAGTCATTATGATATGTGATAGTTTTAGTCGGTTTTTGTCGACTAAAACTTAAAGAGGTTCTAGTCTTATTTTAGTCAGTTTTATGTTGCAAAAAAAGTGAACCTTTACAATTTTGAATAACAACCAGATTCTTTACCATACTGACAGCTCTTGCCTAGATACTATGATTGCTGGAGATACAGTGCTGCTGTGCAGTTTATCATTGCTGTTAGGCAGTAAACTTTGATTTAGAGAATTCAAATAAAATTGTATATGTATTAATGTCCTTCTTTACTCAAAACTGCCTCACAAAAGCTGTGAAAATAGCAGATCTAGCTCAACACATCATATTGATTAATATAGCAGACAGACAAGCTAAAAAAATTTACAATAAAGGAAGGTTTTTAGACATACAAGGTTTCCATCCCAAAGCAAGCACTTGATCTACTATGAATTATACCTTACACACAGATTAATAAAATCTTTATTGCTCCAAAAAAGCAAAGAGCAAAAACATTCTTCTTTCTACTTTGGCAATTCTGGCTTTATTTCTGAGAATTCACCCCTTAGTTACTGCTGCTTAGGGGTCAAAATAGATTTGAATTCACAGGGTTTTGATATTAAGAAAATACAGAGAGAACCTACATAAGTGCCTTGTAATGCCCTGGAAATTAAAAAACCTAAATTCAACGAACAGGCTAACTAAAATGTTGAAATATTGAAATGGAACAGAAAATGTTTTAATGATAATTCAAGGAAACATTTACATCATATTTAAATAGACAGAAGCGAGAACCATTAGAAAGAAATATTCAAATATCTATGTACCTTTTCATCTGTGTCTTTATCCAAAAATAAACAGTATGCAATGAAATATTTTCTTTGGATATAATTTAGGGATTCCTTTTGGTAGAAGTCAAAGAATGTTTAGCATCACCTCTTGTGAGCTGGAAGAAATAAAATCTTGCTAGTTAGACAAAGGGATTTTTATGCTTAGCAGAGGATGATCAGCCACATATAGTTTATTAAGTAGAAAGAGCAGGAAGAGCCATATTGCCGAGAGCGAACCATCAGTGTGGAGTATAAAGTGCAGACTCTGACCACACTCACACCATTCTGGATTGTTTTCACACCTGTCGCTGCTGCCATGATCCATCTGTGGTCATGCAGAAGGAGCCCTCCTGCAGGTCAGGTGGGCTGTGTGTTCAAAGAGGACGCAGCAGCACGGCTGATACCGCTTAGCAGATTACAGCACAATGATGCATTTCAAATGTCTGACCAACTACCTGCTAATTCTTCTTTAGTCTCGTCTCATTGAATAGAACTCACACCCATATCTCTCAAGTTTTTGTCAACAAAGATCTATGTATAGCTATTTTTTTTTAATCCTCATAAAAAAAGGAGGGTAAACAAAATATTTCATCATAGTTGATGAAAACTACACTGCTGGGAAGTCTATCATCCAGCTTGAAGCTTTTTTTCTTATTTCATGGATGAATCGACATCTTACTCTGGGTTGTATTCCTCCATATGTCCTTGTTCTCCTCCTTTGTTGAATTAAAGTTGTCATGTTGGTGCTATAATTTGCTGCACCTTTACAGGCTCTAAGCAGCCTTAAAGACTAGCAATATTACATTGGCATTGGATGCAGAAGTCTGTCGTGCAGCTTGATGATTGCTGGTTTGAATCCATGCTCAGTCTGGCTCAGTTGTTGTGTTCTTGGACAAGACACCTCACCCGCTTTCCTTACAGATGGTCAGAGGCCCGGTGCCACTTGTGTATGGCAGCCTCAAATCTTTCAGCATGCCTAGGGCAGCTGTGGCTACAGTGTAGCCACCATCTTGCCACCACCAGTCGTCTTGCCACCATATGTCATTCACTATAGGAGAATACAGTAAATGTACTGTAAAAAGTTTTGGATACCCTGACTTGAACAAGTGTTAAATAAGTACAGGACATTTACTATAATTCTCCTTTCGAGCAAAGACAAACTGCATTTAATTTAATTTTACTTTTTTTACTAAATTCAACTTGTGTTTTTTTTTTTTTTTACCTGTTTAGACATTGATGCACCATCAAACCTTGTCACTACTGAAGTAACTGAAGACACTGCAACAGTCTCCTGGGATAAGGTCCAGGCAGAAATCGAAGGCTACATGTTGAGCTACACATCTGCTGAGGGCTCCAGCTCAGAGATCTTTGTAGGCCGTGACAGCACCTCATACAGGCTGGTTGGTTTGAGGCCTGGAGTCCTGCACACAGTCTACATTTGGGCCTTCAGAGGAGACAAAGTCAGTGAAAAGAGTTCAACAGAAGCTGAAACAGGTAAACTTTGGATTAGGCTCCAGGCCCGTTTTGGGAGATCTTTGATTTGATTTATTGCTGCAAGATAATATTTAGCTTGATGCTGGTAATCCAGATACCTGTCAAAGGTAAGAACTGGTATTGTCTTCATGCTTGTATTGTTCAAAGATTTGCTGGATTTTTAATAGAATTTCTTACTTGTTTTGTTAAAAATGGTAGAATGAATCATCAGTTCATTTGCATTAACCTCCCCTTTACTTAGGGAGCCTCACACTCTGTTTAGCAAGGATTATTTATTATAATTAAGTTGGTGTCTTTATTTAAAAGCAATTCCCTCATCCTGCATCTAATGTCTGGAAAACATAAGGGGAGCCATTTTGGCTATGTGTCAAAGCCAGCAATTTGGCATCTCTGGGCTTTCATCTTCTACTGCCTTTAGAGCCTACTGTTCTTGGGGCGAGCAGCTGTTTCAGAATGACAAAGGTAAAAAAAAAAAACAGCCTCACAGCAGGACCAACATTATTGGGGGCATTTATATTCAACAATGATGGGATGAGTGTCATTTTTTTGAAAATCATAAGCATGGAAACTCAAGTTAAAGTAAAACAAAAATTAATTAAGAAAGTAGAATTGCTTTTGCTTTTTAGAGATTGAAATATGTAAACAGCAAACCCGACAAATCGGCTTAAATTAACTCTGCTTTTAAAAAGCATGAGATAGGAAATAGAATTCAATATCTTCTTCTTTCTTACCTGACCTTTTTCTTTCTATGGTTCGCATATGTTGCTGACCACCAAATAAGCTTACTGTAATTTACACAGCAAGAATTTGCACTCAGTTTGTTTGAGCAAATTTACTTAAATTATATTAGCAAATGTATGGCAATAGCAGTATAACAAAACATGTAAAAATACATTTCTTGATACATTTCAATACTATAACCTTAAAAACTTTCTCCAAGTAGAAAGCCCAGAACTGAACCCATTACCTTCTCACTATTAGAGAGCAGCATTACAAACTGCACCGCTATCCATGCTATGTTTCCTGACCCTTGAATATATGTTAACACTGCTTACCCAGCGGGTCTTCACAATTAATGTGGATTCAAACCAAAATATTAGTTACTTTTTTCCTTTTTTCAAAAGGAAAAATAAGAAACATTACAATGATGATTTATTTACACGTATTATAGTAATTTTGTACATTGCAAAATACTCTTGTTCTTAATAGAGAAGCAGAGCTTGGAATGTACATCTCCAAATCTTTTCTACTGTTAACAAAAAGGGAGGATTTATCAGTTATAATCTAATTAATCCAGTACCTAATATGTAGAGGTAATTTTTAAATTGTTTGCATAGAATGTATTTTCCATCCACCAAAATAGTTAATTATTTATATTTGGAAGGTGTAAACAGAATATATTATTTTATTGTATCATATATATATTTTATGCAAAATAAGCCATGTAGTTCAGATAGTTATTCACAATGTCAGTTACTATTAAATTCACCTCCCTTTCTATTCATTTCTTCATGAGATTATTGGAAGGTGGAAAAATGTCTTCTAAGACATAATTATTTCTTACCCTGTCAAACAAACCTATTAGAGTTTATTGGTAAATTATTACAATTTGGTCAATATTGATGTTTATCAATATTTTTGTCAATAAATGTACCCATAGCATTATGTGACTTGGTGGAATTGGCTAAAATGCAGTTAAAAACTTCATTTTACCCTCATTTTCACAGTGTTTGCATGCTTTAGGATTAACATAGATCATAGTTTACTGACAATACTACACATAGAAATGGGATTTGATGTCACAGTTGGATTTAATCATCTATTTATGTTCTTAATATTTTTCCAATCGGGTCACCTTCAAAGAAACCAAAATAAATTAACACCAGATAATGACATTTGTATAAATTCAAATAACAAAATGCATTGTTTGATTCAACTTTGACATCAACACTTTCTTCGATCTCACTGGCTGTAACTTCTCATGCATAGACGTAGCTGATCTATGTGTAGTTTTAATTCCTCTCTCTGTGTGCTTTTTAACAGTTGAAGTTATGTCTACTAAATGTAACTTCCTGTGCAGAGTTGGATGCTCCTACTAACCTCTCAGTCGAAGATGAGACAGACTCCAGCTTCAGAGTTTACTGGGATCCGACCCAAGCACAAATTGATGGCTACATGCTCACCTATAGCTCCTCAGATGGGTCCAGGGAGGAAACCCCAGTTGGATCGGACAGTTCTTATGTGCTCACTGGCCTTAGGCCAGGGGTCGTCTACACTGTCTATCTCTGGGCTGTCAGGGGAAGCAAAGCCAGCAGGAAGATCTCAACGGAAGCAGAGACAGGTTTCAGATCTGCAACTCTCTCAGAAACACCACTTAATCATTTCAATCAGTTGTTCCTAATCTGTCATAATTGGAAAACATTTTTTTCTGAATGTTTAACATGATAAAATTTGTTAAATGAAATTAAAAATAGCTGGGTGATATGTTAAAGAGAAAAACAAATAATATTCTTAGTGTGTAGTTGGGACCAGATATATACATACAACTTTAAGTATTTGTGTTATTTACTGCATGAAATTAAAAATTAATATCTGATAACAACTTAAATAAAGATTAAATCTTTACTTTATAAAGTAAGTTTTAATTAAAAAGCTATTATTGTTTGCTAAATGCCAGTACCGTATATTGTTTGTAAAAAAATTTCAAACCTCCTTTGGACTAACAATAACTTGTTTTTGGCATCGTTCTTAACTCTTTATATAATAGTTTGCTGGTTAGCAGGCTGTTTTGTTCAACAGCTTTGCCTCTCAAATTTCCAATGACAGATTTTCCCGATAAAGTCATCTATTTTGTAAGGGGCATGAACATCTTACAGAAATAATGCTTTGAACCCCTTTACTGTGTGAGGTGTTCACTGACTTACAAAGTCCACTTTTTTCTTCCTTATTAAGCAAGATCATTATAATCAAACAAATACAGCAAATTTTATTTTATTAAACCGTTTAGCAAGTTTCCTAAAAATATGTCATGTGTGCTAGAACATATCCCTATTTGTTTTTCAGTCTTTCAAGATAATGTTGACAATGACATTCTTCAGTTGAAATCAGAATGTTTACCAAATCTAATGCTTTAGATTTGGGCTTAATATGCATCCATCACATTAAAACAGGCTAGATGTTTCCACACTGTATATTATTTTATATAAGACAAATCAGGTGTCTGAACACTGTAGCCTAGAATGAAGGTCCACAACTTTCTTCATAATATCTTTTATTCCTTAATTTTACAGTAGCTCACATGGAAGTAGTGTTCCAGATGTTTCCATAAATACACCCATAGGTGTGCTTTCAGTGACTCAAATCATTTTAGTGAATGTACATTTCCAAAATCCAGAAAAGACTTGCTTAAACAGTAAAATTCCATGAAAATTTCTATCTTTATTCTGGCATTAAGTAAACATTAATAACTTTGGCAACCCTTAATGACTCCAAAAGACCTGTCTGGTGACCTGTCTTTTAAAGTTCATGTTCTAAAATGTTTTTTAAAACATGGGTTAATTATAGTTAAAATATTTAGTCCATTATCAGTTTGTCACCTGTCTTTTTACCATAGTTTGCTCACAGAACTGTATATTGATGCCCACTACAAACATGTTTCTTTAGAACTTGAACCTTTCCTCGGACCCCATACAGCACATATTGATGGCTACACCCTAACGTACACCTCGCTTGAGGTGTAAAGATATCGCTTTGAAGACTTAAAGCAGATCTTATTTTGTAACATATTTAGTCCTCTACAGTGTATCAAAGCTGAAAAGGGAGACAAAATTAGAAGGTAAATCTCATCATAAACGGAAACAGGTTTCAGATCTGCAGGTCTTTGCTTTAAACATCCATCCATTCATTCTCCATTAGCTTATCCCAAGTGGGGATGCGAGGGGTGCTGGTGCCTATCTCCAGCTGTCTACGGGCAAGAGGCGAGGTAAAACCCTGGACAGGTAGCCAGTCCATCGCAGGCTTTGCTTTAAACAATTTAACTTACTCATCTTATTCACCACATAATTCAATTTAATTCAAAAATACTTTATTAATCCCAGATCGAAATCACATTAAGGAGTATGCTATTTTTTTCTTTTTAAAAATGTAACATGATAAAACTTAGTTGCATATGTACCGACAGATGGGTGACTAGTTCATCAGATTTTAAAAAAACATGGTTCCCGTTTGGGTTGAGATCTATAACACTGTTATACCTACTCACCTCTCTCTTAGTCTGCTTCTTAGAACTGTGTGTTAATATCAACCACTAACATTCTTTCATAGAAATGGACGCTCCAGCTAACCTCATAGCCAGTGACATAACAGAGTCCAGCTTCAGCCTCTCTTGGGATCCGGTCCAAGCAGAAATAGATGGCTATATCCTGACCTACACCTCCCCTGATGGATCTAGTAAAGAAATCGTTGTGGGGCCTGATAGCTCCACTTATATTCTGACTGGTTTACAGCCTGCAGGCCTCTACATTGTCTACATCAAAGCAATGAAAAGAGACAAAACCAGCAGGAGCACCTCAACACAAGCTGAAACAGGTGTCAGAACTGCTGCAGCTCTTTCCTTTGAACCACATCTCTTAATCAGTTTTGTTTTAATGTCTCAAATTTTTTATATATATTTTAGCTTTTTCTTTTACATTGAACATAATAGAACTAAGTTGTAACAGAATGATAGATGAGTGATGCTTCCTCAGATTTAAAAAATAGATTGCCTCCCAGATAGCTTAAGATTTATCATTCTGTTAAATCATGTCACTTACCTCTCTCTGGTAGTCTACTCCATAGAACTGCGTGTTAACATCAACCAATAACATCTTCTAGAAATGGACGCTCCAGCTAACCTCATAGCCAGTGACATAACAGAGTCCAGCTTCAGCCTCTCTTGGGATCCGGTCCAAGCAGAAATAGATGGCTATATCCTGACCTACACCTCCCCTGATGGATCTAGTAAAGAAATCCCTGTAGGACCTGAAAGCTCCACTTATATGCTGACTGGTTTACGGCCTGCAGTCCTCTACACTGTCTACATTCAAGCCATGAAGGGAGACAAAACCAGCAAGGAAATCTCAGCACAAGCGGAAACAGGTTTCAGAACTATTGCTTTTTGTTTAGAAACACATCAACTAATAATGCCAAATAGCTTTTATTTATTTATTTTTTAACAAGATTTTTTTTTTTTTTTCAATATTCTAAAAACTTTAAACTGAGTTGAATGCTAACCGATAGAATTATGGGTAACAGCTTTATTTGGTTTAAAACAGATGGTTGCCAAGTTTTAATGAGGAAGTTAAGATTTTTTTTCTTTGTAACCCACCTCTTTCCGTAGTCTGCTCCATATAACTGCATGTTAAGATCACCTGTCACTACCCGATCTGTACCATCAGCCTATTTGCACATGTGCAAGCAGATATTCATCCAGGTCACCAAAAACAGTACTAAAAGTGCTTATTTTTATCCTTAAATCCCTAAAGAATGCTACAACTCATCTTTGAATTTTTTTTAATGACTTTTCTGAGACAACTTGATGCTTTTTACATTTTTTTCGTGAAAACTGTTTATCATGGGTCACCATTGAACATGCTCAGAGCAGTCTGGCAAAATATTACACCATGTTTATCTGCATTTTTAGATGTTTCTTTCTTTAGATTGTGCACTATATAACATAAGGTTAACACATATAGAAAAAAAATAACCAAAAAAGACTAGATTTATGTTTAAGTCCAAAGCCGAAAAAGTTAGCTCTCAGAAGTAGCTTAGGATCCGATTTCTGGCACAGATTGAGCACAGATGAGTCATAAAACAGAAAGTATTAAATGCATTTATTTTTTCAGGAAATAAATTATTAACCTTTAACACATTGTAGTTTGGTACGCTTACTATTTTTAGGTAGGGAAAATGGTAATTTAGGTTTTCTTTACAAATTAAACGTGGGGGAGACCCGGATTCTAGTGGCGCATGCACAAATGAGCTAATGGTACGGATTGTGGTTCTGGTACAGATCTTCTGTGACATCAACCACTAACAATCTTTTCTAGAAATGGACGCTCCAGCAAACCTCAAAACCAGAGACATAACAGAGTCCAGCTTCAGCCTCTCTTGGGATCCGGTCCAAGCAGAAATAGATGGCTATATCCTGACCTACACCTCCCCCGATGGATCTAGTAAAGAAATCCCTGTAGGACCTGATAGCTCCACTTATATTCTGACTGGTTTACGGCCTGCAGTCCTCTACACTGTCTACATTCAAGCCATGAGGAGGGAAAAAACCAGTAGGACCATCTCCACACAAGCTGAAACAGGTGCCAGGACTACTGTAGCTCTTTGCTCAGAACCCAGAAAATTCCCCAATTATCAGATCATCATAATAGCTTATGCTCAATTTCTTGATTTTCTTTTTCTTTTTTTTCTTTTTAAGTTAAACATAATATAACTAAGATGTAACAGAATGATTGATGGGTGACGCTTCCTCAGATTTAAAAAATAGATTGCCTCCCAGGTAGCTTAAGATTTATAATTCTGTTAAATCATGTCCCTTACCTCTCTCTTGTAGTCTACTTCATAGAACTGCATGTTAATATCAACCACTAACATCTTCTAGAAATGGACGCTCCAGCTAACCTCATAGCCAGTGACATAACAGAGTCCAGCTTCAGCCTCACTTGGGATCCGGTCCAAGCAGAAATAGATGGCTATATCCTGACCTACACCTCCCCTGATGGATCTAGTAAAGAAATCCCTGTAGGACCTGAAAGCTCCACTTATATGCTCACTGGTTTACGGCCTGCAGTCCTCTACACTGTCTACATTCAAGCCATGAGGGGGGACAAAACCAGCAGCACCATCTCCACACAAGCTGAAACAGGTGTCAGAACTACTGTAGCTCTTTCCTCAGCACCCAGAACATCACCCACTCATCAGATCATGATAATAGCTTATTCTCAATTTCTTGATTTTCTTTTACTTTTTTTGCTGAACATGATAGAACTTAGATATAAAAATACATGAATAAATAGCTGTATAATTTCTCAGATTTAGAGCTGGCTTCCTAGTAAGGTTGAGATTCATAAAATTGTTTCATCTTTTCATGTACCTCTCTCTTGTAGTCTTCTCCATAGAACTGTGTTAATATTAACCACTAACATCCTTTCCTAGATATGGACGCTCCAGCTAACCTCATAGCCAGTGACATAACAGAATCCAGCTTCAGCCTCTCTTGGGATCCGGTCCAAGCAGAAATAGATGGCTATATCCTGACCTACACCTCCCCTGATGGATCTAGTAAAGAAATCCCTGTAGGATCTGATAGCTCCACTTATATACTGACTGGTTTACGGCCTGCAGTTCTCTACACTGTCTACATTCAAGCCACGAGGGGAGACAAAACCAGCAAGAAAATCTCAACGCAAGCTGAAACAGGTGTCACATATCAGTTTTTTTCATAAACCAGTTTTCCTCTTGACCATATCCATGTTTAAATCATTACAAAAGTTGATTGGCCTGTAATTAAATGTATTTTAAACAGACAAGCATGTGGACTGCTTGTAAAGACCCAAGAAAATGTGCCATTTCTAAATGTGCTATTGATCAAGTCCGTTATTATGTCCTTCAAGCATCTGTTTCAAGTCATGCAAAGCAACCAAAACCAAAACTATATCCCCCTAAAGATATTAAGCCAAATTCCTTAGCTGTCTCATCATTCACACCCCCAGAGGTCCCATCCACACTGAGACAAGATCAGGTGTAGTCGCAAAGATATTTTCTCTTCCAACTCTGTATTGAAATGAAGCCGGCATTTTGGGAGATTATAAATGACTAGTCTTGAAACCGAGTCCCTGAGTGGAAAAATGAGTGAAGTCGATTTCAGGGGACTTTGTAGATCAGCCTACCTCTGTAACTTGCATGTGCCTCTTCATCGCTGTGTTGCTTTGTTTACTTCGCCATCAGCATATGTTCAATATTTTTGTCAGTGGCTTGACTGACAAATTTAATCTAGCATCTCTCTTGATGAAAGGGACACCCCTTTTTTGAAAGCAGTTTTTGAAAATACACCTTGTTTATCTTTGATAACATCTGCAGCAGTTCAATTATTCAGCCACAACTTTCTATTTCATATATTATTTAGTGGATGCTTTGCCAAAATATTCACACCCTTTGAAGGTTTCCCCATTTTGTTCTATGTGCTTAGCCTTTTCACTTTGGTACCCCTAACTAAAAACCAGAAAATGTATAGTTCATGCGAATTTATAGAAAGTTTTGCACATTTTGCAGCATCAAGTTATTTCGTTTATGTATCTAGACCAGCACCTTTGTGCATCTAGAGATTTAAAAAAAATCGTATTTGTTTACAAAATAGCTCAAGTTCAGTAAGTTGCGTAGCCAGCTTATCGTAACATCTATTTTGAAGTCTTGCCACAAATTCTCAATCGTATTTTGGTCTGGATATGACTCTTTAAACACGATTATGACCCAGTCTTAAGTCTTGTACAGCCCCTGTAGCATGCATTTCAATCATCTAGTAGTTACTTGCAGTACTTTGCAATACTATTCGTTTCCCCCTTGACATTTTCAGCCTTTTGCCACATTTTGGACTTCATGCATACAAATTTTTGAAGAATCAGCAAGTGGGACACAATCGTGAAATGGCAAAAATATTTTCAACTTTTTCAAATATAAAAACTTAAAAGTTGGGTTTGCATGTTCAGGGTGATGAGCGGTGTTGCTTTTAAACCAAACATAACTCCCACCACAGCTGTAGATCTCTACAGTTCATCCAGACTGATCATGGTTCTCTTGGCTGCATCTCTAATCACTCCTATCCGTTTTTGAGCTAAAAGTTTAGAGGGACGGACGGGTCTTCATAGATTTCCAGTGGTCTGATATTCCTTCCATTTCAATATTATCACCTGCACGGTACTCCTTGGGATGTTTGAAGCTTGTGAAATCTTTTTCTATTAAAATCTTGCTTTATACCAGTATGTTTGCCCTGCCTGCTGTGTTCCTTGTTCTTCATGATGCTCTCTGCGCTTTGAACAGACCTCAGAGACTATCACAGAGCAGGTGAATTTATACAGAGAGTTGATTACACACAGGTAGATTCTATTTATCACCATCGGTCATTTAGGTCAACATTGGATCATTCTGAGATCCTCTGTGACTATGGCTTCCATGGAAGCACTGGTTGGCTTATATTCTTTCTGGAGAGAGTTTGCTGCACTAAAAGTAAAGTGGCTGATTATTTTTGCATGCCCACTCTTCTGTTTTTTTATTTGCTAAAGGCGTTTAAAAAAAAAAACATACATTAAGCTCCACTTCGTTATTGTCTCCCACTTGTTGGTTCTTTACAAATAATTACAATTTTATATCTTTACGTTTTAAGCTTGAAATGTGGCAAAAGGTCGAAAAGTTCACGGGGGAGGAATACTTTTGCAAAGCACTGTATATCTACATAGCCTCAAAATTTCTTAGAAATTGGCACTTTTTATATTAATCACAAAAAAAGAATTGTACAATTTATCTACGGCCTCCATGGAAGCACTGCTGCTTTATATTCTTTATTTTTCTTCCCATAATCTCTGATCACCTTCCCTGTTGAGACTGAAGAACAGCATTTCCATACTGATAAAGTCACAACTATGTATCGCCATGGTTATGGTGTAATCAGGGAGATTTGCAGTGTTAGTTAATTGGTCACCTTTTGCATCTATGCCAAAAGTTCTTTTTTTTATTCCCGTCTGAAAGGGTTCCTTCCTGTTACATTTGTGAAAACTTCTATGGGTCTGGACAGTTTTTCAAAGCTTTGCACATATTTTAAGCCTGTATTGGGTTTGGTATGAGATCTCTTTTCAACCATTCCTGATGTCACTGTAAGCAAGCTCTTGGAAACATACCTCTACAGTGTTTAAAAAAGGTACACTCATTAAGATACAACTTTATTTGAATTGCTTATAGATCACTAAGTCCTATAATCTCCGTTAATTAATTTATCTTGAAATCTTTTCTTTAAAAGATTGTTCATCTCTACCTCTTTAGCCATCAAAATCAGTTTGAGAAGCATTCTTTGTAGACCGAATGAAGTCCAAATTCCAAAACCTTCTTCTCATTTACATTTTCTGAGATAATTTTGGCAGCTTTTTATTCATTAATTTGCAACTTGTGTCGACTATTTCTTATACTTTAATTTCCCAGGGAGGCTTTTCATCTCATTGGAAAAGGATATGATTGCGAATAGAAGAGTAAAATGCCCAGGAGAATTTTGCTTTGAGTTTTAAAGCATTTCTCGCACTATATGGTAACTACATTTTAGCTTCAGTGTTTTTTAAGCATTCTACATCGGCAGTCTGAGCACTTTCAAATTATTTTGCTCATGAAAAGACAGGAAGATTTAAAATGATTAGATTGAGTAATTATCTCATTGTGTTGCCTAATTAATCCCTGCCTTTGAAGAGACTATGATTTCTTTTGAGAATTGTCCTGAATTAATACTCTGAAAGCTAAATTTAAAGATTAAGCTCTGGTTTTTTTCTTCTATGCAACACACTCAGATGTCATATATTTTTTCTTTTAGATACCATACCCTTACAGTATTAAGCACAGTCACTTATTTTTGTCTGAATGTCATGATTGTGTCTAAGCTGGCAGATAGAGTCCATGCTGTCCACAAGCAGTCTCTTCTTACTTGAACGTCTCTGTTCTCAATGTTGGACGTATATGACAACTCCTTTTGAAGAAGAACCAGAAAGACAGCCTATCCCCATTGTGCTATCAGGGAGACAAATCAGTGAACAAATCTACGAAAGGCGCATAGCTATAACCTGGTCATCCAGACCAATTTATACCTTGTGCATAACGTAGTAGTCTGAATAGGAGCGGATAGAGCGTAATTTTAAAGGCAGGACTAAGAGAATCAGCAGAAAACATTTAAAAGCAAATAACTATGGCTGTACTCCAAAAAGCTTTTTATTTTTATTTTTATTGAATACTCCTTCACCAGCCAGTCATTTAAATATAATTTGATTTCTTTATGTTAGAAACAGGTCTTGTAGAACATAATAAAGGGAATCAATAACACATTACTTCATTGCATCTGCATTCTTGACTGTTATGGTTACAGAAATTTGGTCTGATTACGCTGTGATGGGTTTGGTTTTAGATTATAGAGGACTGACTGACTGTAAGTCAGTCTGGCTTAGGAGGCTAACTCATACACCCCTGTTTTGACCCCTAACTGAAACAACTATTTATCCATATATGCCATTACATTCCATACACCAAATGTTGGGCCTTTAACACTTAAACTACCTGATTCAAAATGTAAGTTTATACACTGACTTTGTATGCTGTATTGTTTAACCAGTCAGTCCCTCAGAATTGTGGGGCTAATACTATTTAGCCTCACAAAACAACTACTAATATATAATGCAGTTTGCATGAGTAGTGCATTAACTTATATTAACATCTCCCTCTAGATCTGGATGCTCCTGCTAATCTCTTAGCCCAAGATGAAACAGAGTCAGGCTTCACCGTGTTATGGGAGCCTGTCCAGGCAGACATTGATGGCTACATGTTAACCTATAGCTCTGCTGAGGGCCCCACTCAGGAAATCCCTATCGGATCTACAGAAACCTCTTACTCGCTGAAAAGCCTAAAGCCTGGAGTTCTGTACACTGTCTACGTCTGGGCTATCAAGGGGAACAAAGTGACTCAGAGGATTTCAACAGTAGCTGAGACAGGTTGATATAATATAATAAGTCAATTTACTTTTAGCAGCAATAAAAATGTCATGTTTCTTGACATTGCCAACCAAATGGGGGCGTTTTTTCGTATGTCCAACCAAATATCAACTTTTAAAGCTGTTTTGACTGGAAACTGGGAGTTACACTAAGCATTTAAAAGCTACCCGTGACTCATAGTTAGTGAAGCTATTAAAATTCTGCACAAAGCAGCCTTTAGCCTAGTGTCCTGGCCACTGTTACCTACTCAGCTCAAATATTGTTATATTTCCTGTTTCCATTCAAAAATAATTAGTTTGTTAATAATTTACAGCTTGTCAAGGTGCAGAACACATGGTATATTTATTTTAAGCTAGAAACGGCTTTATTAAAGGCAAAGCAGAACATGCTGTTGGTTAAGTTTTAGGTGCAGTGGCAAGAAAAGCACCACCTCACTGATAAATATTCCATAAACCTAAACTTGAATCTTTTGCAGTTATAAAAAAGAAGTTTAATAAATTAATTGTACGTCTGTTAGGATAACCAAAGTGATTTCTGCAAGACTAAAAAGAGAAAGATTTTTTTTATATGTTTTTTCTTTTAAATCGTACTTCAATATTAGCATTTAACATACATTTGCCTTAATATTTGCACTCACTGTAACACCTTTGTACGTTCTCAATCACAGATCCCTGTATATTCATTTTTTTCCTATATTTAGTTTTCCCATTTAGACTAAACCATTGAAATTTAGAATTGCATTTGCAAAAAAGTCCTGACCAAGATAACAAGAGCAAAAGAAAGCACTGAGATATGTAAATATTATAAAACCTCAAACATTACTAAATTAAAGGCAAAACAAAAAGTCAAGCAAAACAGTAAAATTATTACTCTACACCTCTTATCTTAGCTGATTTCTTTTGAAATTTTAGTCATGATGTCATATATGAAAACACTGTATTTGAGGCGTTCTCCTGTATTCCATCTACAGAGGTGCTTCTACAAACAAAAAATGTTTTTGATTGACCCATCAGGGATTTGACAAATCCAATGTAATAATCAGCTAATAACTAACTGTCCTAAACGGTGTTTGGTCTTTGGCGGCTTCTCATATTTCAGTGTGAGAAGAGGCTACATATGTGATTGGCTTGCAACAGGCCTTCTTTGTGTTTGGCAGTTAATCTTAAAATTTCTGCAGCGCTCTAAGTGAAAGCCAGTTTCATTTTAAATAGGGTGGCAGGGGTTAAGATTATAAACATTTTATCATGGATTCCATCAGTGGCTGCAGACAAGATACTGACCTCAAACACAGAAGTTATAGCTTCAAAGATTATCTGGGTTACATAAAAGTATGTGTTATATATTTATATGTAAAGGAACAACACAATTGAAATAATTGGAACTGAATTTATTCTGTGATTGTCATTTTGCCACTGTTTATTCTTTGTCCTTTATTTTGTCTTTCTTTTCACAGAAATCAACTTAAAAATTCAAAGGCTTCTGGGGAGGAAAAAAAATGCTGAATTGTTTGGGATGCTTTTGTTCCTGCTTGGCGTGGCTTTCTTTAATATTTTGATCCATGGGAGGTCAAAGCCCCCGCTGCTTTAGTTCGTTTTGTTGTATCAAACAAAACACTGCAGCATGTGTTTCAAATGAATTGGCAAAGCATTTCAATAAGGGCAGGAAAAGCTGCCAGCTTATCTGCAAGCTGTAACCGAGCAGGCAGATGCTAGATGTCTGTGAGGCACTTCATGTGGACAAAGACTTGAAAGCAATCCTAAAAGTACCTACATTTTTGGGGGGTAATGGTAGTTTATTAGAGTAAAAAAAACTATTTGTACACTCTAAAACAGAAATGATCAAATAATAAGTAAAACTGTCTTTGGAGTTCTGTAGTTTTTCTTTTTATAGTGAATTCACTTGAATAAATAAAGAATGTCAGACATCTTTAAATATTTAAAAGAATAAAATATTTGCCTTTGTGCAGACCAATCTTATTATTATCCACTCCCACAGAGATCGACTCCCCCAAGGACCTAAAGGCTACAGATGTAACAATAGACTCAGCTCTTTTGACCTGGGCTCCTCCACTGGCAGACATTGAGGGTTACATCCTCACATATAGAGAAGAAGAAGGGAATTTGCAGGTACTTAACTGTGAGGTTGTATACTCTTTTCTTCACTAAATGTGTAAACACTGCATGTCCTGACAATACCTTAATGATTGTAGATAATCATTGAAAGCTTTGTATTTTCAGTTGTTCGTGATGCAAATTTAGTTAAAGTGGTGTATGTTTATTTTATTTTTCTGTGTGGATCATCAAAATAAGTGGTCCTCTTAATTCTGTCCTAATTCAATCATTCTGGTGATATGTCTACGTAAAACCATCCTATGTGCTCGTCCCGATTTTCTCTTACCTCTGACATAGTGGAAAAATTGCTAATCTTTTTTTGGAAAGTAAGCTTGTCTGAGCGATGCAAACAGCAACTTCTAAACAGAGGGTGCATGAGGAGAAATGGGCTCGTGCACGCTCTGACATACGTGAGCGGGTACAGGGTTGTGCATATGCATTTTTTTTTAAGTAGAGAGGGTGGGTCTTTTCAAAAATGAAAATTGCCTAACATAAATTTTAAACTCATAAATTATAGCATTATATTTTACTGATTATTTCTGTAACTTAGAGAAATTTGGTTCTTTACTAAGAAAGACAAAAAACACTGTTTAGATATTGGGATACTTATCTAAAACGATAAAAAAGCCTTTTGTAAATTTTGACCTGTAAATGGCGTTAAGGCTTGATCAAGACTCCTTTTGCATGAAATGCTGCAATGGTTCAGTGGAGATCAGCACGTGACTCTGCTGTGGTGTTAAGGATGCTAAGGTTCCTTTAATAATGGCAGTTACCTAGTCCAAATTGTTGACTCTGATATATTTTGTCTTCTTCTTGATCACTCTCCATGGATTGTTGATGGTGTTTAGATGGTAATGTTTATTCGATAATCAGTCACAGTGATACAGTGGTACTTATACCAGGTATTGATACCTATCAGTTCCTGCTGGTAAAATAGATACTCAAAAACCTTGTCAATAGACCAAAGCATCAAGCTCAAGTGAGGGATTTGCACAAACCAGCCATAAAACCGTTAAATAATTTCAAAGAAGGTCTTAATTTATAAAAAAAAAAAAAAAAGAATTCAAAAATGATAAACTGGGTCCAAAAACAGAGGTCAACAAAACAGACTTCAATTTGGGTTCCAACACAAAGACCTCAAGCACAAAATGACCTCTCAAACAAGACATGAGTAGTTGTAATCAGACCACTGTTGACAAGGGGGATAAATGACAAAAAAACTAACAAAAAAAGTAAACCTAAAAAAAACAGATAATTACTGGCCAGACACTAAGTACTTTTTTAAATTGAACGAATATAACACAACTATCCAAAACAAAAAAATATCTAAACAATTGATAAACAAATTTCCCCTCCCATTACTAGAAGTGGTGTGACCAGCTGATTAGGCTGCAACGACCATATAAGGAGACGAAAGCTGGAGCTCATTGTAGCCCTCCAGCAGCAGATCCAAAGGAAACTGGCAACTCAAAGACAAGGAAATTAATCAATTGCATCTTAACCAAAATATATCAAGCTAAAAATTAATTTAACTATGAGTGCACTGCAAATAGCTAACTAAAAACCCAGGCTAATGAAACCATTATTTGAAATCTATGTAAATTCATTTTTAAAATGAAAATTATAAAACAGTTACCAGTCAGTTTAGTAGGCTTCATCATGTGACAGCAGGCTGTCACATGATGAAGCCTGCGCATTGATTTGAAAGAAGACAAAGGACCAAAACCTTCAGATGGCATCGCTCCCCTAATTTTCACTCTATGAGGAGACGTCTTATTGGACCCCAAGCTGCTTCCTCTCTTTGCCTTTTTGCTCTCCCTCAAGGCTCTGGGATCTTGACTTTCACATAATATGAAAAATTAACATGGACCTGGAGAAAACCTTGACCCCTTTCCAAATTTTTGCTTTACATCCTCTTGGTTATTCCTACATTTTTTTTCTTCCAGATTTTTATGTTCCACTCAACCAGTGGCGGTTCTGGACCAAATATACCAGGGGCCCAGGATAGGAAATATGTTTTCTTCATAAGGCACAGAAAAAAGGAACAAACAAAAAAAAATCAATCTTGATCTATTAAGTGAGACATTCAACCAAACACTTTCTGATATAGCAGCTGAAAACTGTGATCCTAGCTTAACATGACTGAAGTTAAAAGTGCATCACCTTAATTTTTAATTTATTGCTAAAATAATAATGTAAAGATAGAAAATGAAATAGGTAAAAAAGAACAATCACTTACAGTTTCTTACCAATGTTTATCATTAAAAATATATTTTGGTATTATTTCTTTAGCACAGGGGCCATAACAGGGGCGAGGACCAGTTCAAGAAGGACACTGGCCCCTGTTGGCCCCTGTCTAGAACCATCAATGCATTCAACCATCATTCAGTATAATTTATCTATAACAGTATTTCAATTTACATTTTTTTAAATAGACTTGTTGACAGAAATTAACTTTTTTGATTACAATATGAAGCTTTTCAGTGTTCCTTCTTAAGTTATTCTTATGCTGATAAAACTTTGAATATGCAAAAAGGAAAATCTTCTATGAAAATGTGTGCTGGTGCAGATGATTACTATGTACTCCAATCCTGAAACCTGAGTCTGAAGAAAATCCACATCCTTTTCTAATCTTTTAAATGCCAAAGCAACTTCCTTGCTTTGTAGAAGCTTAGTTATTGAATTTAAGTGTTTTGAAATGCTGACCTCTTGTGGGCACAGATGAAACAAATCTACTGCATAAGCAGCTCACTAAAACTGAATAAATTTTATTCAAGCTTTTCAGTTGACTTTATGATAGGCTAATTTCAAGGTTTATCAGCAATCTAGATACTATGATAACACATAGATGTTTACTAAGATTATTCACAGCTGTTTGGTTTTATTTCCCAAGGCTATTGAAAGAAGGCTTGACGCCAGCGAGACAAGCTTCACTGCATCCAACCTGAAGATGGGAAAGAGGTACATTGTCACCATTGTTGCTTTTAGGGGCAGCAAGAGGAGTAGGATGGTGGAAACCCTTTTTAAAACAGGTCAGTATTGTTCTACAAAAAAACATCTTTCTAATGTTTATTGTGATATTTTACATTTAAATATGATTTTCCTTTCCTTTGCTTTTATTAGTTGCTATGCTGTACCCCTTCCCTATGGACTGTGTACAAATAATGAGGAATGGCAATAACAACAATGGCATCTATACCGTCTACATTAACAATAACCAATCCAAGCCAATAGAGGTTTTCTGCGATATGACTACTGATGGAGGCGGCTGGCTGGTATGAATTATTTGCTGACTCTACAGAAGAAATAGAATTTGTCATTTATTATAATACAGAGCTGTTAAAAAGCATACTTTGGCCTTTGCACTTGTTTTCAAATCATCAATCTAGTTTTTTATTCTTAGATAAAGGTAACAAGAGTCATTAAGACATAAATGTATGGTTACTGACCACATTAACAGGGATAATCCAAATCAAATTTCCCTTCCTAACTACTTGACTCAATGATCTATAAAAGTAAAGCAACATGCCCTAATTGAAATATTGTTTATACACTGATGAGAAATTGTTATTGACATCTATCACTCTGGAAAGGACTAATGGGCTCAGAGGTCTCAGCAGACAACCGTAGGGGCCAAGTATCCCAAAATGGAAAATACAGAAATAGTGCTGTACCTGCCAGCACTGGTTGATTGCAAAAAAATATTCCCATACTGCGTCAACCACTTCTTCAAGAGAAAACAACAGAATTTAAGCTAAGCAGGCGTTAGTTCTCTCACTAATGAAATGCAAAAATTAAATCAATGTGAGAATCCAAATCTTACGACAGACTATTGGGTTCAGGCTAGAGATTTTTTTTTAATGTGTCAAACGATTATGGGAATAAAGTTGTAATATTACAAGAATAAATTCATGACATTACGAGAATAAAGTCTTATATTTAATAAAGAATAAAGTTGAAAAATTATGAGAAAGAAGTCATCATTCCACAAAACATTTCAGAAGGAAAGCTTCGAGCTTCGACCAGCATATGATGGCCAACCAGCACCAAACAGCAACCTGAGACCACTTTGATATACTGCACAATTTGATACTGGTGTGCTAAAAGACTTAACATTTCCTTATTTGTCAAACCAATGCCAAAGCATAACTTCACATGATGCTCGACATTCCTCATTTTAGGGAAGAAAGTGCTTCTTGTAAGAGTCGTCATAAAAAAAAAAAAAACTTTATTCTCCTAACACAAGGATTTTTTCTCATAATATTATGAATTTATCCTCGGAATTTTATGACTTTATTCTCATATTGTTACAATTTTATTCTCATGAATTTAAGCTTAAAAGTAAATACTCTGCAAGTTTGGTCTATTTTGGAATATTTATCAAAACTATGGAGAGAAACCAGACTCAATTGATTCATGTAATAGTGTAATGTAAGCTGTGTAAACTTGATTGTAAGTAGGTGTAAATGGCTTTGTGTATATGTAAAACATATTTTTTAAACTTGGAAAAAAAGATCTGCAAATCACTTCAAGAATTTGTAAGTGTAAGTAATTTGTGTTCAAATGAGACAAATAGTAAAAGTGACAAGTACATCATAAAATTACGCGCAGACAATTACTCCCACACATAAAAATTGTTCAATACATGGGCAAAGCTCACCTGATACACACAGACAAAGCTACAGTTTCAGATAAAATCTGAAGATCAGATAAAAAGTTCACAAAGAGTCTTGAGACTGTTGCTGAATATCCATCACCATCTGGTATGAGAGGCTCAGGTTCTCTTCTGCTGTTTACACTATTGTCATTCGCTAAAGAAAATGTCCTGTTATCTTCAGTTCCCACCTTGCAGTGATATAATTACGGTGGCCAATCTGGAGGGGTTTTATTCATTTTATAAGACAAGCATGTCCTTTATTAGCTACTTTAAAGATGAAGGCAGTTATGCTAATTCATCTTATATAAGTGGAGTTAAGAGATTAACCATCTTTCCAAACTTACTGGTCTTAATTGCAATGAGCAGACTGACTGTGTCAGGGAATGTTGTTGAGGAATATATTTCTCCTATGACTGCTATTCAGGCCATTTGGAGTCTCCTAAGATGAAAGATCCAAGGTCCTACAAAATTGAAAAAGAGTTAAAAAGTCTCATCAAATTGTTTCTTTCTCCTTGAAACAATCCCATAAAGGAGCATGGCTCATAAAGACAAGGTATGTTGTCGCCAGGTTGTAAGTTTGTTGATGCCTATAAGGCTCAGAGTGTAGTGCAGTTTATCCTTTCCATAAAGTCCTTATTCCCAGACCTAGAGAGGGAAATATCATTAAAACTCAGAAGGAAATTCAAATTCTCCAACTCTCCATCAACATTCAAATTCCCCATATACACACAAATCTGCAAGATGAGACCAGAAACCCTTTGAACACTTGTTATCAGACTGTGTAACTGCAATTTTGTACACATTTATCAGGTGAGTTGTGCACATGTATGTGTGGAATTGTAGTTGTATGAGTAATTGTCTGTGTAATGTACTTTTATACTTGTCATTTTTAAATATTTGTATTTGCATTCAAAAACACCTTTCCAAATTACTAAGATTACTCCCATAAGTTTCTTAGAGTTTTAAAAGGATGATTTACACACACAAATACCCACACATACACACAGCTAAAGGATATCATACCCAAAGTGAAAAATGTCTTAGGTGTTTTGTTGGACTGAGGTTACTTCACATTTAACTGTGACAGGGAAGCAAAAGCAGAAAAAAACTGTTATTGGGGCAAATACTGCTTAACAGCACAATAGACCAGTTTTAACAACAGATAATATATATGGATATTTTTTTCTGTTGATTAAAACACAAGCTTTAGCTTTCCTCAATCCTGGATTAGCTCTTTTCAAACTCTTCATTTCTAATCCAACATCTGTCAGTAAAATCCTGTTCTTGCTATTTTAAGGTATTGCAGCGCCGAAACACTGGCAAGCTGGACTTCATGAAACGCTGGAGGCAGTACATAGCAGGCTTTGGCAACATGACAGAGGAGTTCTGGCTGGGTAAGCAATGTGGTTCTCTTTTTTCTTGCAAACCATGCACATATGAAGTGTAACTGTGCATTACATCCTCCCTTCAAATTCTGCATCTGTCTATCTGCTCCAACAGGTTTGGATAAGATATATGCGCTAACCAACACTCCTACGCAGTATGAGCTAAGGTTTGACCTGGGCCTGGGCTCAGAGAGAGCTTACGCTGTATATGACAACTTTAAGATTGCTCCGATCAGACAGAAGTTCAAGCTCACAATTGGCAAATACAGGGGGACAGCAGGTATGGTTGCATTTAAAAGACTTGGACTGTGAAAACTGGAGGCACAGCTTTGATGAATTCAGTTTTTTTTTTCCTAACACCCACACACGGTGATGCATAGTGAGAATATGATGGCAGATTTAGAAACAAGACAGATGGGGGCAGTAATGGAGGGATTTCAAGGCCTGTGTACCCCAGCTATTATGCAAACACACTTTAGCACTGTAAGCTTGAAAGCAACTGAGGTGGTTTATGAAACATGCAGGATTTGAATATGCAGCAAATCCACACAGACAAAATGAAACATTCTGCTACCGTATGACCCGGAGTTTGCTTATACAGCGTTTTCTGCAGGGTTGAATAGTCTCTCCTTTTAAAAATATGGTTCAGAATACCTATGCAGGTGTTTGCCCTCTAATATTTAGCATTTACAAACATCTCTTTTTATTGGTGTTTTCAGGTGATGCTATGACCTATCACCAAGACCGGCTCTGGACCACCATAGATTCAGATAATGACATTGCCTTGACTAACTGTGCCAGAACCCACAGCGGAGCATGGTGGTACGCTAACTGTCATTTGGCCAACCTCAATGGTAAATGGGGTGACAACAGACACAGTCTGGTGAGTGAACAAGGAGGAGATTCTGCATCTCTTAATTGGCTTCGTTAAATGGATATGTATTTGTTTCTCTCTGTGAAGTAGATACAGTAGCAAGATAAATGTAGTTTTTCTCTTTATCTGAAAGGACCTCAGAAATAAAATGGTAACATTTGGCTAGCAAATATAATTTGAGATAAATATGTATATTTAAAATTTTTTTTTTATTTTTTTTTCTTATTTATTTATTTCCAGTTAAAATTGTCAAATTGCTAAACTGATTATTTGAAGAGAACTTTTCTGTTTTCTGACTAAAGATAAATATATTTTACTTGAACCAACCTGGTATTTCAAAGAATAAATAACACCATGGCCCAAACAGGCCTATAGCATAAGAATTTTGCGACCATACCCAACAGAAGGGAATCATTTCCATGTATACAACATGTTTGACTGACCTCAAGTACTGTATTTGCTGCCAAACATTTCATGTCTTCTTCTATTTCCACATATACTCCACAGGAGATAAACAAACTCCCAAAGTTAACTTTCTAATGGTATAGGGAGGCAAAAAATGTTTTCTCCTGATTCTATTCCAAAACAATGAATGTATATATTCAACATGTACTATAAACAGCTTCTGACTGTGCCAATGTTTTATGAAGACTTAAAGATCATGAGATTCTACAGTTCCTCAATGGGACCCCTATTGCATTTTTCATAACCTTTTTTTCTCTTATCTTCCTTACTGATATCCTTACTGTGAGTTCACCACAATCTCATAACTGTAAAAGAAATAAGAAAAAAAGTAACAAGGTTTTTATTTTCTTTATGTTTTAGCGCTTCCCAGTGTTGGTGGCACTGCTAGGCCTGTGTAAAAGAATAAAATTTAGACATACATTTTTCTGTTACAGGAAAAAAAAATTGAAGACTTTTTCCACAATATTCACTAGAAGGGTAAATAATTGTGCTGCGAATCTCTGCTATCTTTCTACAGGAGACTTGCATACAAATGCAGCTTTGGTCCCAATTATAAGTGTTACCTCTGCTATGAAGCTACACCAGTGCACCATTATTTCGTCTTACAGCTATGTTTAATACAAGGCAGAAAAAGAGGCTTCGCACAAAGCTAATTTCTTTTCACAACATTTACAACTTTCTCCCAGAACTCTGCTTATTGTTTGGTTTCTGGATTATTTGGGGGAAAACCCAAATGACTAGAATCCATCATCGGTTGATAAGAAAACACATTTCTAGAGCCAGCTTTAATGCAGAGGTATTTGTCAGTAGGCTGATAGGGAAACAACACTGTTATTAAGTCACTTCAGCAAAACCCAGGTGAATTCTCTGCTCTTGTCGAGATTCCATCCATAGTATTGTTGCCTCAGATGTCTGCTGCTGTGTTTGCTGCCAAAATGCAATAACAGTCAAAGCAGGTTTGTACTCACATGATATGGACCCTGAGGCTGGTATTTATTACTTTCTCTCATTCTGCTTGTCTGTCATGCCCTTCTCCTTTTCTGTGGCTTTGACCCTCTCTGCTCTCTGCTTTTCCCTCTCCATGATGCTCTTACCTTTATCTGTGCTCTCCCTTCCCACTCATTTTTTCTTCTGATCTGGTGTTTTGCTGTCAGGGAGTCAACTGGGAGCCATGGAAGGGACACCTAACTTCCCTCGACTTCACCGAGATGAAGATCCGACCTGTGGGAGCACTGTCCAGCAGAAAGAAGAGATCATTGATGGTCAGGGAGAAAAAAAGCAGGGTTTCAAACACCCACAAGTAGGCGAGCAGCAGAGAAGTGCAGCGAAAGCAGTCCGCTCCATCAGCCTTTGATCACACTAGATTTTGGTTTTTCTGTACATATGTAGATATAGACCCTACACTTAAAGGATCTGCAAACATATGTTTCTCAACTTCTGTATATTTTCAAAAAACAAAAACAGGTCATCACTGCAGAAATTTAGAATAATCCTTTGTAAATTATTACCTGTTTATAACAGAACAGAAATCCAAGGTTTAGTGTGATTATAGGAGAAAGGTGAACAAGAAACTGTGTTTGAACGAGGTTTGAACAGTTGTTCTACTCGTAAAGAACATGTATAATTTAGAAAATCATGTTTTACTCAATTTTTATTTCTTTAGAAAACTTGACTATATAAATAGAAGGAAAAGATAACGGCAACTAAATATTTTGTTCTTCCTTTATTATATTAATGCTAAACTCGTTGACTTATAACTGCACCCAGGTTCAGGTGAGGCCGAGTATCCTCAGAGAGTTACCGAAAGTAAACAAAATAATTTGTGTTTAATCAATGGATCCTTTGCTGGCTCTTCAAACATGTGTCCTTAGTCTATTGATTATGCTGCCACTGTGCATCTGACACTGTCACATCACATAAGCTGGTATGACATCAGCCAAAAAGTAACAACTGATTGCTGCCCCGAATAGCCAGATTGCTCCTGCTTTATATTCATATGAGTGGGGACAGCTCATATCAATCAATGCGATGTGTCACATCAAATGTCAATAACAATGACATTTGTTTGTGCTCTTCTCCAGAACAGAATGACTAAACTCCCATTTTTAATCTGGAAAGTTGACAGAAGCTATTAATGTTGCACTGGCTTCTACTTTGCTTAATTAGATTTTCTTAACACTTTTATGACAAACACAGTTTATGTGACAAGGACATGGAGCACACAAACCCACCTTTATACCAATCTGTCAGAATTAATTTGCAAAATGATGAACTTTATTTGTACATTTGGTAATGCTTAAGACTGTGCAGCTTCTTAAAGTCTTTAAAATGGTTTAAGATCAGAACCCCGAAATGTATTGCTTTCTTTATCAATTATATTGCTAAAATTATTTTATAACTCCCCTTTCAATGTAGTGTCGCCACTCCTTTAAAATAAATCTGTTTTTAACTATGTGGTATTGCTCTTTTTTTTCAATTTTATTGAATCATATAATTTTGTGTGATTTTTGTTTCTCTGTGTGGATTGGATGTAGTAAAGAGGTTCAGGGATTATCCTTGGAAAAAACTAATTAACACAGCTTTGAATGCATTTAGCTTTTTATTTAGCTTTTTATCTAAAGTAGGAGAGCAGAACCATGACAAACCGCACCTGGAGGGCAAGGACATCAGCAAACTGATATAATTACAATCGTATCAATGGATACACTTTTCATATATTTTGCTCTGTGACAATTCCAAACCTTTAAGATCCTGAAAGTATATACAAAATAAGGCCTGTTCTGCAAAAAAAAAAAAACCCATAAAAGTATTATTTACTTTTAAGAATACTTCAAGACCTAAAAACATATGAATTAAATGAACTGATCAGCATATATTGTTTTCACAAGTACTTAGGCATCCTTATGTTTTAATGAAGAAAGCACGATAACTGCAACAATATTAATTTACAAGTTGGCAAACAAATATGATGATCTTTGTTCCATCAAAGAGTTCTCCAAACAAAATTGCAGGGGGGTCAATTTTGAAAAATTATCTGCAAAGAATAAAAATGCATAACATGAAATATTTGGTGCTTGTCACCTGTACTGGATTTACCTCAGAATTTGAAGCTTGAATCTTATTATTCAATATGATTTAAATGTTATCCAACCAAACTAATGTTTTGTCATGGTATTTGATCAAACTAGTACTTACTGCAATGCTAGTTGATATCGAATGCTTGAGAACCACTAATCTGAATGGATAAATGGACAGTTTCATTGATTTCTACAATATTTTTGAGAAAATTTTAAATATTTATCTATTCAAAGTTTGGGAAAAAAATGTAATTATGCATGAAAGCATCAATAATCACAATGACATAATAGTTTATTACAGGCTTCATGAATCTGTTCAACTTCTTAAAGCTACAGTGTGTAATTTTTAGCGACATCTAACGTCCAGACTGCAGACCGCAGCAACATGAACATCTCCCCCCCACCGCTTCTCCCCCCCAACAGTACGGCGAGCGTTACGGGACAAAATGTCTTCCACGACGTCCGCATCACCTACCTTCTCAAGTGATGAGGTTTGTTTACATAGATAATTTTTACAGATAGTATTCTCAGGCATAATACTGCCATCTATTGTTCAGTACCGTCTCAGTTCATCTCTCTCAACTTGCCGTAGTTACTTTCGAGCTTAATGGGCGATCTCGCAATCGCTAGTTTGTTGGCTCTGCGCTGCCGTAGCGCAAAGATGTCTGCCTCCATGGCTGCGAGACCCGCTCCTATGTAATTATAAATAACGAATTCTAAGGCAACGCAAATATTAAGGTTAAGAGGCTGAGCTTGTAGATGATGATAAATAACATAGTTATGTATAATATATTACATTTCTGACTGTATATCCCTGTAATTATTACACACTGTAGCTTTAAGTTCAATGACAAAATTGTGCTGAATAAGGTTCTTTTCTTCCTTATAGGTAAAATATAGGTTCAAGTGTTTGGAGATACACAATATTTATATCCTTAAAGTATATTGCACCTCTTAGGATGTGCAATATAACCTCAATATAAATATGATAAAGGTTTGTTTAGACCTATATATAATCATTAGCATATAGAATTATTATCATATTCAAAAATAAAAGCATTGATGAAAAAGACAAGAATAGGAACATATTTCAAATAAAATCCCCCCCTTGATGATAAGAGTAAAACATATAATAACAAATATATGCTTCTGTGTAACTATATAAGTAAAAATGCAACTAGCTGTACACATAGTCCCAACTAAATAATTATTGCGCAGCCAACAGTCTGCTTCAGCTCCATGTTTTTGCTTGTACTGCTCAGAAACAGGTTAATCTTGTGTATTATCAGCTATCCTGGTGAAATATAAAGAATCATTTATAATATATTTTAACACATGGTTGCATTAAAAATCTATGTTTTATTCCTAAACTAATAGCCAAACCTTCATGCTTTAGCGGTTAAACCAATGTGAGCAAAAAGTTATAACGTTCACATAAGGTTTTGTAAACTGTACTATAAACTATCTGATATCTATCTATTTTCCTTTTAAATATAGAACTACAGTTTCCTAAGTGCAACTCTTTCATCCTGGTAAGTTAAGTAACTGCCCTTAATGAAACTGCTGACTGTCTGCTGTCTGGTTTCTAAACTATTTCTTAATTCTCTATTAGACAATATACAGGCCATGAGAAAGCACTGGCTGTCTGAGCAGAGACCATTTTGAAACACCTAAGTGATGCATAAAGCACAGCGAAGCACTTTAAAGCAAAAAGATTCAGATCTAAGATTTAAATTGATCAAACAAGAAAATGGTTTTGATTTGTTGTTCCATCAAGACAAAGATGTGAAAGTATTTATTTTTATTTTTTTGGTGTTTACTACAGTAATCAGAATCAATGAGTGTTTAAGAATGCTGCTGGATGACAAATCATTTTTGACATGATTCTAATTTTAGCCCGTAAATAAATTGTCCCATGAGGGTTCACTGGTACAAGTGGTTATCTGACAGCAATTACCCTACAGAGAATAATTCCTACTATTGCTTAGACATGTAAGTTATTTTCTCAGTGCAAAACTGAACAGAAAGTGACGAGCTGGCCAATTCCCCCTCCTCTTTTCTCCTGCTCTATGAACTACTCTACTTATAAAGAAAAATATGAGTCCGCTGACACACACATGCTATTTGTCCCTCTGTGTCACTCACATGGACACTTTCCTCAAGATTCATTGTTATTTTTTATATGCAAGATCTTTGTTAGGAAGTATTTTTTTTGAAGATGTGTGTGAATATGGAGAAAAGCTGCAGGAGTGAAGGAATTATATTAAGCTCTCACTGTGTTTATTTCAATTTTATTACAAATTTTACATTTAGATAATTAAAATCATAAAGAATATACTGTGCCACAGCAAGAGCTCTATTAGACTGTCATTATGTCATAGAGGGCTCTATTAGGACTATTAAGTATTATTGTGCTTTACCACCAATGTTTTGTGGTTGCTGTCTGACTGTTTGGTTTAATTGTGTAAGATAAAGTTAAACGTTTTTATAAGGTGGATATGTTATAGAAAATATAGTATGTAATACAGAGCTGTAGTGTCAGGTCAGTGGAAAATAAGCCTTGCTCCATCACCCTACCACAGGAATGATCTTAGAAACTGCTGATGCAAATGACACTGGATTTCTTGCCACATATTTAAAAAATATGTGGCAACTAGAGTCATTTAGCTAACTCCAATTTGTAACTTCACACCAGGTTTCACTCTTTGCTTCATAGATGGCTTTAACAAAATGGCAAGTTTTGGAGTTGGTTGGCTGGTATAACTGAATATTTTTTCAGATATTTTCTTGTGTTCTCATGTATGCTTTTCATTTGATTTCATGGATTTGTTTTAGGGACTTATATTATGTGTCTTTTATATAATTACTCCAGTAAAAATGTACATGCATCAATAATTCAGTATTGAGTTGGATTTAAATAGAATGCTGAATTATATCTAACACGAAACCCACTTTTTGTAGCATTATGGATTAAGTCAGTCATTCCCAACTGGGGGTATGCATACCCTTAATGGTACGCAAGTTTTTTGCAAGGGGTACATGAAAATATTTTATTTCTTAGGCAGTAAAATAGAATAGGGCTGGGATCTATTTTGCTTTGTGAGGACTCATCTAAAAAATAAAACAAGCTTTTTTCAACCAAAAAGTAAGTTGTTATAAATTTTCACCTTCAGTTTTGACACACATCAATACCAAGCAGAGGAACAGATTGGATGTGGAGAACAGCCTGGGATCAGCTGTTTATCACACTGAGCTATTGGCGCTCATCTTCTTATCTTTGATTATAAGATTATCAAAGCAGCTCAGGAGTCACAAATGTTGAAATCAAAGTAATATAAATGGAGTCAGTCTGACAATAATTTTTGTTCAGTATTTTGTTCCCAAATCATCAAGTTTATATGGGATTACAGGGGAGTTTATCAGACCTGCTCCAGTTTTATAAAGGCAGATTCATAATATGATTTTATTTTGTATTTATTTTGATACCTTATTTGCTTCTGGGCAACATATTTATGTTGTTGTTTTTTTATTTGAGTTGGAGAGAATAACATGCCAAAGATTTAAAAGTGCAAGTTTAAAATATTAAATAAAATAGTTTTTATTTTATAATCAGTTGTACGTTGGACTTTTGGACAGTCATCAATACTTTTGACTGATAGGGGTACTCATAGTAAGACAAAGTGCCCAAAGGGGTACAGTACACTGGTTTAAGCTATTTATTTGAATACACTATTAGTACAACTACACAGAGTTTTCTTTGGTCGTTATAAATTTTGTAAACGTTCAACAGAACAAAAAGTTATGGTACATAATAAAACTTAAGCTTCCAATTTTTCAGACTATTATTAAGCAAACCTCAATTAAATCTATCCACATTATATTAGCAAATTGAATTATAAACATTTTGAAACCGGCCTACAAAGATCATCAGAGAGCTGCATAAGTTACTTAACAAGGAAAGCGGTAACCAAAATAGGGGCACTGCCTTGGTGGGAATTGGTGCACCTGGTGGGTTGCGGTTTCAAGTTGTTTACACAATGCAGTTGAGGTTAACCAGCGACAGTGGAGATGCAGACGGAGATCATATATCTGAAATATACCAGCCAGTAAAAAAAAACAAGCAAAACAGCAAAAAAAAAAAAAAATTATATATATATATATATATATATATATATATATATATATATATATATATGTATATATATAAGTTCCTCCTACACAACGTTGTCATCACCACATCCTAAAATGATTAGCTGGCTTACTGTTTGGTAATGCACCCACTATGTTGAGGTCCATCCTTCTTTGGCCTGACTAATAAGCTTGTAATGTGACCAAATAATGTCTCCAATAATTACCTTATCTGTTTCATGTTGTTTACGA